GGATTTCAAGATTCTTCAGTTGTAAATTTCTCCAGGCTTGCAGGGGCATTTTTAGATTCAATCAAAGCCTTGAGGTGCCGTGTCCACGTCTTCAGGCTAGCTAGGAGGACTTGGCTTTTGCATCTACCGTTTCCTCACGGCGCTTCAGCACGACCCTGTTCAGCCGCAATGAAACCCTAGAACCCAAAACGAATGACCCCTAAGACCTAAAATGGAAGGTCATGGCCTGTTGCCTTATGGCCTTGACACGAGCTGACTAGGGATTGCGGTTCACAGAAGGGTTTGAAGGCTTCAAGCTTGGACGGATGCCATCTGTGCCTCCTCATGATGCTGCAGGGCCAACATGTCGAATAAACAGAGCTTTGTGTCCGCTGTTGAAGACTCGGTGGTGGTCTGGTATCTATCCATGTGTTTTAAGACATCAAGCAGGTTGCTACTCAGGCCTATCGCATGTTGTGACGTGCACACAGCTGCACGAAGCTGTACGTTCGAGCCTGGAGCGGTCGCCAGCGTTTAGAGAAGCCAGGCTGCGCTGTTCAGACATGCGTCTCTGTGCCCTTTCACTGCTGTCACTGGCGTCGTGGGGGAGGCTCGCAGCCGCTTTTGGGGATTTTGATCGCAGGAGAACGGGCCTCCTTTGGAGGCGCAACAGCGATCTAATAATTCCGCACATCACAAAGGGACGCGCAGACTCTTGCCCTCTTACTCCTCCTCGAGGGCGGGACACCTGTCAAGATAAGAGAGAGATTGAGTACTGTCAGACAATCCAGGAAGCCAAGCAAGTATAGGTGTTCTTCACTAAGTTGTTTGTGCAGAGCCTCAACTTGAACTGCTTAACCGTCTTCAATTGTCGGGACCTTTGCGGTGAATATGGTCTGAGGAAGCACGTCGCTTGCTCCTGGCCTATTCGGAACAGACAACATCTACTTGCTCAAGGTGCGAAGGGGCGCCAAGATTGCTACAACTAAGTTGGCTTGAAGCCGCAACACAACTGCCGGCTGTAGTAGTTGCCGCAGTACTTGAACTTGGCATCCACCGCCCCTCAACCCCAATGCCTCCCGCACTTGAACCCCATGAAATGTCTAAGAAGCGGACATTTGCGCATTTTGTCTGGAATTTCTGCGCCTGACATTTGCGCGAGCCCACGCACACACAAGCACGCACGCACGCGCTTGACCTTCCCAACAACACCTGCCTGCGTAGACCGACGAGAGGACGAGGCCTGCTCTTTCGAGGACGACGACAACTCCGCCTTGACCCTAGCCATCGCCTCACAGGTAGGGTCCGTGCATATTCTCCTCACTCCACACAAGCTAGGCGCCCTTCTACCTCGAGGTTTGCACTTGAAGATGTGTGGCCCGTGGTTACTTTGCCTCTGCCCCCACCCCTGAGCCCAGCCCAAGCTGACTGCATTTGTATGTGTGGCAGAGCATTCTTACGCCTCACATAAGGGGTTTCTGCGCGTTCGGGCCTTGCCAGCTGCAAGTGGCCGCCGAACGTGTTCAAGGGTAGCAAGGTCTACGATAAGCTTGAGCTCGTGGAGTTCAGGTTCCAGCCCTCCAGAACTTGAAGCTCCATTGATCACATATGTATGACATCTATTGATGTCTCATATATCCCAACCGTCCCAACCCAAAGCTAAACTTCCAAGACGCTCAAGACTTACAAGCATCAAAGAAAGCTCTCACCTGAACGAAGGTCAGATTCGGCTAAATTCACAGCTTCTCACAACTGACACGCAGCGACACGAGGAGGCAGAGACACTTTTGCGCATGCATGTGAGATGGCGTCAAGATTATGTCCGCTCTTTGACGGTCAACATCCACATATGCTTCAAAGAAGGCGCGGCTGCCATTCCACATCGGACGAAGCCCTCACAGAGATGTCAGGTTTGTAGGGGTTTAAGCCTTTAAGCGCTGGGAAAGCTTGGCGTGCGGGGGTGGGAAGGGGAAGGGAAGGCGGGGTTTGATGGACTCATACATGTGCGCGTGCTTCTGCTGCACGAAGCCCCCAAAAAACCCTCAACCCCGAAACTCCTTGAGCCCTGAAGCACAAGCCCTGCCACACTCCTTCAGCTTAGCGCCTGTATGCATTGCGCGCCCCGGCAGCCGGGCAGGAATGGGGCCTGTGGCGATGTGGGGTTCAGGGCTTCGGATTGAGCAAGAGATGCGTCTCAATTTTCATGACCTACGGCCCAAACGGCTGCCATCCTCAATGCTCAAGCAACTTATTCTGCTTAGACCTCATAGGGGTTAACTTTGTTCAGTTCGTTGATGCCACTCCAAACAGGTGAACAAGCTTGAACTGACAAGTTGGCTTCTTAGGGAACTTTAAAAGTCCATGATGCAGGGAGCTCAAGATGCCATTCGGTTGTGCTCGTAGCCTTGGGCTGCAGAACTCTTAAGGCTGAAGGCATTCACACCGGCGCGAGCTGTCCAGCAGCACTGGGACCCTACAAGCCCTAAGGACCAAAAGTGGAAGGGTAGGGACTGGGGCGGAAGTGTGCTTTGTTACGGGCCTAAGAAGCTTAAGCCTCGGGTTTGGGGTTTACAGAAGGGGGTGAAGGTTTCATGGACGGATGCGATCTGTGCCTCCTCGGGACGCTGCAGGACCAACATGGCGAAGCAACAGATCTTGGTGTCCAGCGAACCAGTGCCGTTTGAACCCAAAAGCCCCACTTTTCAACGCTCCAAGTCCTTCCAATGCTTGTAAGGCTGCTTGGGCCGAGATGCAACTTGCCTTAAACTTAGAGCTCTGCACGCTTCAGAACCTTCTAACCATCTAACCACCGTGCTGAGGCACCATGAAAATACGGAGAGTAGCTCGCACTCTTCTTTGTTTATTTCCCCAACTTCCCTCCCCACACCACACACTGCCCTGCAGAGGCTGGCGGCTAGTGTTCCAGAGGCTCAGGTCTTTTCTCCCACATGCGGTTCTTCCCTGCATTTTCAGCAATGCGCTGAACCTATAACGGCGATATAAGGGCATGGAGGCTTCAGTGGGTTCGGCGCTTAAGCTTTATGGAATGTGGCTGGGAGGATTTAGGGCTCTTGGGTTTTGCTAGGCTTGGGGGCTTTAGACTTAACGGCTCCTCTCCTGAACTTCGTACAATGACAAGAACGGGAGAATGCGCCAGAGAATGTCAAATGTTCAACAAGAGTTGCGTACACGTCGTGTCAATGTGGCTCCTGATGCATCGTGGCTCCTGATGCATCGGAGGTGCATCTTGGAGGGGATGTTTGGCTTAGAGGAGGGGCGTGTTTGGCTTGGAGGTGCGTCTGGGAGTCTGGGACGAGGGGTGTTTGGCTGAGAGGTGCAGCTGGAGCTTACAGGAGGGTGTTTGGAGGGGCGTTTGGCGTCGAGATGCGTCTTGGAGGGTCTTCGAGAGGGTTGTTTGGCCTAGAGGTGCGTCTGGGTGTGTTTGGGTGGGGTGCACCTTGGAGGGGTGCGCGTGGGCTTGGAGGTGCATCTTGGAAGAGGGTGTTTGGCTTAATTAGAGGTGCGTCTCGGAGGGTGTTGGAGGGGTGTGTTTGGGCACGTGGGCCAAATAGCTCGTGCCAAAACAGTTTTCTGAACTTGTACCTCTTTTGCGCGAAAAGACCGTGCCAAAAATGTCTAGCCCTACAAAGGGATAAACATTTCAATCTACTTATAAACCCTATGGTCCCACATCCCACGAAGGGATAACTTTTCAATTTACTTGTAAACCCTCTAGGGGTGAAGAGCCTTTTAAACCCTAAACCTCCCCTGCGACCAAAAACACCAAATAACTCGCGCCAAAGCCTTAAAACCCTAAACCCTATACCGCAAACCTTTGGCGCGAGCTGTTTGGTCGCTGGCGCAAGCTATTTGGTCGCGTCGCAGGGGAAACATCTGGCGCGAGCTATTTAGTTACAAAGTATTTTGTCCCAACTCTGCTTGCCCTGTGAAAACTAAGTAGCTGGCGCAAGCTATTTGGTCGCTGGCGCCAGCTATTTGGTCACAGGGGAAACATCTGGCGCAAGCTATTTAATCGCTAGCGCGAGGCATTTGGTCGCAGGGGAAACATCTGTCGCGCGCTATTGGTCGCAGGGGAAGCATCTTCCCAACTCTGCTTGCTCTGCAAAAATGTTGAGAGTTCTAGGGGGTCCTATGATTATGCCCCAAAGGAGGAGCGCAAATCACAACACGCAGGAGAACGTTACGGGGTTTTTCTGCGGCTTCCTTCTCTTATTGCCCTCACATATCAGTATTAAAGACCCGCAATTTAATGATATTTCAAGGGGTCTTTGCTCACATGTTGATAATTTGAAGGTTTTTGGCATGTCAGGGCCGCGGTGTAAAACTTAGAAGCTTGGAGCTTTGGGGGATTTACAGTAAGGCTGTAGATTTATGACTGGCTTCGCAAACAGCCCCTTAGTAGGCATCAATCTCATGTGGTCGGCGCGGCAAGGAAAACTTTGGGCTGTGCCATCCAAACCACATCTGGGATCACGGTCAAGGTCTACATACTGGCCTAAAGTGGTTGGAACACCGGCCAACAAGCTGTGCGAATCCTGTGTTCATGAAATCTTCTCTCGCGACTCCACGAAGACTTTTGCAGAGTGGTTCATCAACATACTCCAACACACAACTCGCGTAATGAATGATCCAAGTTCTTGACATGCAACAACCCTGTTTGAAGCTGTGCTGCAGCAAGAAAGACGAACAGGTCATGTGAAAGCAATTTTGCGGAGCCGGTGCGTGTGCGGACGCTGCCTTGCTGCATGTTGCGACATCGCGGTGTTGTTGTGGAGGATTCGTGCTGACACAATTCTGACACATGTCCTGTCTAAGAGCTGAATTATGACTTTTCGCACACGCCGACGTCTCGACTGTCCGCTTCAGTTCAGTTCAGTTCCGTTCGCTCTGAAGAGTTGGTGGTTGAACCCTCCCCCCCCCCCCCCCCCCCCCCCCCCCCCGCCCCCCCCCCCCCCCCCCCCCCCCCCAAAAGCAAAAAGACGTCACTTTTCCGTCACTTTTCAACATCTGAAGAATTGGAGGTTGATCATGTAGCCGTACTCGCCGAGCTTTGCCTTAGGGGCACGGCTTCTCTCTTGGCCGAACAGTCTGAGGCAGAAGGGAGGGCTTCAGGCAGCAGGGTCTCCAGGGCTCAAGATCGCTTCGGGCTCATAGGGCACAGGATGGCTTCGGGTGATCGTTTTGGGCTCCAGGTTTCGGGTTTAGGGTTTTAGCGGATATTCTCAAGGGTTGAGGGTTTAGGGTGTAGGGTTTAGGGTTTAGGGTTTCGGGTTTAGGGTTGAGGGTTGAGGGTAAGAGCGCACAAAGCTGAGCTCGCAGTAATGCTGAGCCAGCCGCGGCGGTCGTCGACTCTGGGAATACAAGCTCATCACCATGGAAGCAAGCCACCTGAAGTGCACTTCGAGGGTGGGGTTTCGGGGTTTAGGGTTTAGGGCTTAGGGTTTGGGGTTTAGGGTTTAGGGTTTTAGGGTTTAGCGTTTAGGGTTTAGGGTTTGGGGTTTAGGGTGAAGCAACCAATCGGTCGTGGTGCAGCCGGCCTTTCCGCTCGCTTTCCCTGGCAGGCGAACCCCATTCAGAAACGTGCCGTTGGTGGACCTCGGCCAGTTTCATTGGATTCCCCAGCGCTTTTGTCCGTGAAAGCTTGGCCGAGCTCCGATCAGGTCCACGATGTACAGAGCTCCGCGACTTGGCACCAGCTCCTAAGGCGATGCTCAAGGCTTGCAGTTCCACCGGTCGAGTCGTAAGCACAGTGAAGCAATTTGGGCAGTTCTCTGAAATCGGGTCTCTTCTAGGGTCCGTCGCACTTGCACTTAAAACAACTCGACAGAGCAAAGGGGCCATAACTCAGAGAACTGCCCTTTTCAAAGCTGAGGCAGAGTCAAAGCGAGCATGGGTCCTTGTCAGCTGCACAGTTCAGAGTTTGGGGGGGTTTGAAGGAGAGCTTTGAGGGGGGGGGGGTCCTTCTTTTCTTTGACCAACCAGGAACCTCCTGTGGTAGACACCACCAAAACATGGGCCGCAAAGTGGATCAACCCCCCCCCCCCCATGTAATGCTCCTGGAGATCACGGCACCCTTGATCGGAAGATCGCTCGAGGCATCAGATCCTGGACTTGCGCTCATACTTTGTCACACTAGGCTTTCGGGGGTCTAGGGCTTAGGGGTTTAGCGACAGATTGGCGAAAGAAAACTGGACAGGCTCAAGGCGTTCGAAGACACCGCAGGGGTCCTAGCACAACGTGCAGCTTGTCGCCACCCAAACTGAAGGAGCCCTGCCTGTGGCTGGAATGTTGGGACTCAGAAGGGGTGAAGGAAATGCCGGGGATTCTTCTAGATGCTAGGTCCCTGTCTCCTTTTGCGGGCATCCTCCTCAAAGGAATCCCACTACAAAAAGATAAAGTACCCACAAGTGACGTGGGGAACCCAATGCCAAATTAAAGCAACGACCCATTTGCGCCTCAGTCCTGGTACCATGGGAGAGAGTAGCAGCTTCGCTGAAGTGCAAGGCTCCTGGAGAATGCTGAAACGAAGAAGTCGCATTGCAATACTAACTGTTTAACTTCCATTAGACACACTAGTACTGGAGTGGTGTGTGTGTGTGCGCGCACGCAACATTTCATATCGAGAAGGCCCTCACCTGGAAGAATCCCTAAACCCGAAAGCCTAAACCCCAAATAACTAAGCCCTAAAACCCATCGCATGGCCAGGTTGGCAACGTTTTTTGCGGGCAAGTTAGTAGGGAATGAAGGAACGGCGCATCATTGCATTTCTCATTCTTACGATAGTACCGTTCCATCATTTCCTACAAACCCTAAATCCTAAACCCTAAACCCTAAACCCTAAAGCCTAAGCCCTAAACCCTAAACCTAAACCCAGCGAAGCGCAGCGAGGGCGGAAGGTCCGCAGCTCCTGGGCAAGGAGGCCTGCAAGCCAAGCCAAGAGCTCCAAAAGTACGCCGGGTTTAGGGTTTAGGGTTTAGGGGTTAGGGGTTAGGAGTTAGGGGTTAAGGGTTAGGGGTTAGGGGTTAGGGTTTAGGGCCTTTAGGGTTTAGGGTTTAGGCCCCCCCCCAAGTCAAGGAAATAGGCCTTATAAGCTAGAATACCACTAGGATTCTCACTTTGCGCAGGGGAAGCGTGGTACGATTTCAGTTGCCCTTCCCAAGCCTTTTAAAGGGTTTACGGTGCAGGGTTTAGGGTGTAAGGCTTCGGGCTTCGGGCTTCGGGCTTAGGGCTTAGGGCTTAGGGCTGAGGGCTTAGGGCTTAGGGCTTAGGGCTTAGGGCTTGGGGTTTGGGGCTTGGGGCTTGGGGCTCAGGGTGTAGGGCTTAGGGTTTCAAGTTTAAGGCTTAGGAATTTGGGGGTGCGCTTTGGTCCTCGGGGTGCTTCGCAACTCCTAAACCCTAAACCCTAAACCCTAAACCCTAAACCCTAAACCCTAAACCCTCGGCCTTGAACTTTGACTTCGTTGACTCCCCACTTGCAGTGCGTGATGGCGCGCCGGAGGAGCTCCTCGGCCTTCTCCACCTGCGGACTCCGAGTTTTTTCCCCTCGTAGGGTAGCCTTATACATGGTATATATATATATATATATATATACATATGTATATAACATATATATATATATGTGTATATATATATATATATATACAGATGTATTTATATTTGTATCTATTGATTTTCTTATTGATTATTTGTTTTTTGCATATCTACATGTGAAGGATATACCGGGTATTTTTAAGTAGGTCATCCTAATAAGGTAGCCAGATGTGTTGATGACTCTTAAACACTACTTAAGTTAACGTAATCTAACATCCTTCGCGGCAATTCCACCTGTCTGCAAAAGTGAGAAACCCATGGCTGGCTGTCGTAACTTGGAGGGTTGATGTGGGTTGGCCCTTTCTGGGACTCTCGGAACAGTCATTGAACAGTCCTTATAGCTACCTCAAAAGGCCCATAATATGGATCAACCTAAACCCTAAACCCTAAACCCTAACCCTAAACCCTAAAACCACAATCCCCTTCCCAGGTAATCCCAAGCCTGGACGGCGGTGCCGAAGAGCGTCGCCTGAAAAACTTGCAGTGTCGTTGGTGGGCTCGCGCTTGCAATATGGGGGTTTCCGAAAATAGGGGACGATTCATATAGCCCCCCAAAATAGTAGGACCTTAGGACCCCCTTTATAATACGGACTTTAATAAGGTACCCCTAAACCCTAAACCCTCAATCCTAAATCCTAAACGAAATCCACAAGTGCATTCCGCGAACGCTGCCTGTGACAGCTCCGCATCCCATTCGAGATCCGTGATGCCTGCTGACTCGGCGAGCAGGCGCCTTCAGGCCAGAAAAATAAAAATGTCCTAAAAGCCACTGTTACATGGGGGTTTACGAAAATTTGGGGGACCCCCAATGTAGATCCCCAAACAGTAGGATCCCCTTAGAATAAGGACCCCAATCAGGCACCCCCAATGTCGGAAACCCCCCCCCCCCCACATTGCTCTGAAGACATGCGGACATTGCGGAGCTCTGCAAGCGGGATGTCCTTGTGCTTTCCGTCATGAAGGAGCGCAGCTGGACCCGTGGGATCTCCACCACGCTGCTGACCTGCAGCTCAGACCCCCTGTGGCCATTGACGCCAGATTTGCCCGAGATATCTGTCACATTGCACACTCTTGCCTGATTCACGTCAAGGTTTGAGAAGTTCATCTCCTGCCAACCGCAACCAACACACAACAAAGGCTTCCGACCTCGCTGCCCTGTGTGGCGATCCTCAGTGGGAGGAGCTCCAGCGCGGAGCGCCTTGAGGCAGCTTAGCTCGGCTTGGAGCAGCAAATGCTTGTGTGGTTCTTCAGTTCTTCTTTCTCTTCTGAGATTCTCACCTTGGCATCGTGAGAGAAGCGGCACTGATCGCCCCAGAGGCAATCATTCTTGAGGAAGTGCGTGCACCTTGATGCCCCAATCTTCTTGCCACTTACATGGTCACAGCAGCAGCAAGAAAAAGCATACACTGTCAGTGTCAAGTGGGTTCCCTGCAGTCGTTGACAACGCGGGTTCGAGATGTCGCGCACATTTCCGATGAGAGCGGCTGTCTCCTTTGGCAAACATCATCTCAGTTGTCTACTGTGTCCAGGCCAGGGTGCATCTCGGGCGATGGCTTGCCCAAGTGCTGCATTTGTTGGCCATTGTGCTCGCAACCGTGCTGTGTCCGAGGGTGCTTTAGGTGGTAAGCTGCGGTAGGCTGCGGTAAGCTGAGGAAGTTTCAAGGCAATTCATTCAGGGTTTTCTCTCCTCTACCGTGCGAGGAACACGGCGCGGAGGTGGAAAAGACCTAGGCACCGAGCCCTGGGCGAGATCGGAGGAGGGGCTTGGACTTGGAAGAAGCCCTTCAACTTGTGCCGAGGCCGATGCTCTTGGTCAGCCTCTGCCTGAGAGCTCAAAACACCTCTCAGCCTTTCATTGTCGCAGTACAGTATATACAGTGTATGTATATATATATATACATATATATATGTTTTCTATATATATATATATACTACGAGTAGTATAGATATATATATATATATACATATGTGTATACATATATTTGTATGTGTATAGCATTTTTTGTTTTCTACTGTAGGGACAGTTCCGGGCCTCCTCGTGGTTGCTTTCCTCTGTGCGTGCCTCAGGCACCAGTGGCTCCAATGTCCCACACATCCAGTCCCGACCCCGTGCTCCGCGCTCGTTTCGGCACCGGGTCGGAGTCCGGCTGGTACATGCTGCAAGGTCATCACTACCAACTCTCACACATGTCTATGGGGCGGGTCCAGTTCTTACCTTGTGGGCAACATATCGCAGCAGATGCAGTCGCTGCAGCCGGTATGCAGTTGCAATGCTGGCCATGAAGAGTGTTCTCCGGGCTGCGTCGCGGATGGCATGCAGCACAACATGATGGGACAGAAGCGCACTACCCGTGACCGTTCGAACATGTGTCTCGTGAAAACACCGACCACACAAGGAACTGCAACAGACCCACAACGGCACATTTTGTCGCAAGTTTCCGAATCAGAATGGCGCTCGGACACATCATGCACATTTGCCAGCAAGCTTTGCCGTGGCCGGGTGCTGAGATTGGCTAGCCCTGAACCTTTCTGGTGCAGGCCCCCTGAAAAACAGAAGGCTACAGGTGCTTTGGCAAGATGAAGAAAGAAACGCATCGAGTTGCTATCTCTTTGCCAAAGCCAAGAGAACGGTCAAGGAATCTCGAAAAGTTTTGCTGCACGCTTTGAAGCGTGTCAACAGAAACTGGGTAAAGGAATCCCACGCCTCCCTGAGGCAATGATTTGAGACTGCGTGCCTACCATTGGGCTCTTCCTGCTGCTTTTGCTACCCTTGCCTCATTGACAGCTGCTTGAAGTATGATGTGGCAGGATTCGAGCGAAAACAAGCCAAGAACTGCCTGAGCATGCGGGTCTTGTGCTACGCGCTGCCCAGTGCTGGAATGCACCGAAGTGGTTTCACTTGTGGCACCAAAAATCGGACGGTCTGAGGCCCATGGTTTCCGTAGCCGTGCTCACGAGCGGAATCGGAGAGGTCTTAAACCCTAAACCCTGAACCCTAAACCCTAAACCCTAGCAACTACACTGAGTTGAAGGGCATGCTTGGGGTCTTAGCCCTTGGGCGCCACAGGCGGAACACCTGGCACCGTCCGCTTCCGTGAGCGCGGAACATCCGCTGAACCCTGTAGGATCTATAGGCAGGACCTCATAGCAATGCCCTGGGGCCACATTCGTGGAACCTGGGGCACATGTATGGAGCAGAGTCTTCCTGAGTTGGTGTTGAGAGGGCCATATTCAGTCAGGGCTCGATGGTTCTTTTGGGGGGCTAGAAAGGCCAGGAGCCAAGTCAGGATGGACGCTGCCGGTCACTCCCTTCGGTCGAAGCGGGGCCATGTACGCTTCCGTACATTTCTTCTGCCTATTGTCCTTGGGGGCTCCCGAACTTCTCGGGATTGCAAAGGCTGCCAACTGACTTGCGTGCTGCTTGCTCTTGCTTGTCACGCAGCACTGCAAGGCACACGCAGAGCCTGACTTCGAAAGGGCAGATGCACTGAGGATCAGGAGCTTGAGGATGTTTGATCAAGGCCATGGAAAGAAGAAGCTGCGCGGAAGAAGAAGACTTGCTAGCAGACTGCATCCGCGCAAAGGTCAGGCTCTGCCTGTCTAAGTTCAAACAGTCGATGTTGTTTCAGGCAAGGGCGCCGTGGCCCAGTTCACATCTTGAAGTCCTGCACGGAAGCTGCAGTGTACGAAAAAAACCGCATCCCTAACCCCAGAAAGGCTCAAGGTTGAGGCACATATGGGCATTTACAACACTAGGGGACCCCTGGTGTAGACCCCAAATAGTCGGATTCCCTTACTAGAAGGACCCCAACCAGGTACGCCTAATTTGGGAAACCCTCATATCTGAATGACAATCCTTGCGCGGTCCTTGTCCAGGAAAGCAGTCAGGCGGTTGCAAGCCTGCAGGTGCGGTTTTCAAGCCTTCCACCTATTTTTCTTTAGTCACTTTGTCCCATGTGAGGTATGTCACGACGCCTCCATCTGAGCAGCTTGGTGGGTGGACGCCTCAGCGCCACATCGCATGTTTGGGCACCTTTTAGCTTGAAGGTTTATGGGTAGGTATAAGCAGGGTTGCAACTTCCCCAAACACGAGCAAACACAGGTATAACTTAAAACCCTATACCCTGCGATAGCTGCCCACCCTAAACCCTAAACCCTAAACCCCAAACCCTAAACCCTAAACCCTAAACCCTAAACCCTATACACCCTAAACCCTAAACCCCCTTTTATAACTATGCATGAACCTCCACGCAATCGGCCACAGTGAAAAGGTGCCGGACCCAACCGCCGGTGAAGGTCCGGTCGAGGAGCGAGATGTGCCTGCTATAGGGTTTAGGGCTTAGGGCTTAGGGCTTAGGGCTTAGGGCTTAGGGCTTAGGGCTTAGGGCTTAGGGTTTAGGGTTTTAGGTTTTAGGGTTTAGGGTTTAGGGTTTAGGGTCAGGGTTCAGGGTTTCGGGTTGGGGTTCAGGGTGTGTAGTGTGAGGGTTGAGGGGCTTGGGGCTTATCATTCACAATGTGGATTGAAATCATGGAGCTAAAAGGCTTATAGGGTTTAAGTTGGAGTAGCTGAGCCCGAAGCACAGAGGCTTGGAAAGTATGGTCTGCGTCGTTCTTCTCATAGCGCCAGCACCTTGTTGCATGAAGCGCATGGAACGATTTAGGAGTGTAAGACTCTTCGACGAGACTGGGTCTGCAGCCACACGCTTTTTCCAGGAGTCAGCTGCTTAGCAAAGATCTTCTGCAGGCGGTTTTGCAAGCCTCTGAACTCTGCACTTGCTGCGACTCGGGCATCTGCTTCTTTTCTGGCGGGAGAGCGCTCGTGGCGCGACGTAAGCCCCTTAAGGCGAGGGCGCATCACGGTGGTCTTGCGCTCCAGAAGCTCCTTGGGGCACAAGAAGAAGCGTCGCAGGTATAAGGGTTTAGGGTTCAGGGTATGGGGTTTAGGGTTTAATTAGGGTTTAGGGTTTAGGGTTTAGGGTTTAGGGTTTAAGGGTTAAGGGTTTAGGGTTTAGGCCCTTAGGGTTAGGGTTTAGGGTTTAGGGTTTAGGGTTTAGGGTTTAGGGTTTAGGGTTTGGGGTTTAGGGTTTAGGGTATAAGCGTGCTAGGGCTTACTGAGCGCCCTGGGCCCCATGCTGCTTGTTCTGCTTGGGATCGCTGGCCCCTGGAAGTCAGCACTGAGATGCGTTGCGCGAGCAGGCTGGGTCGTGCTGGAGTAGTGGACACGCGCCGAGACTGGCACGGGCTCAATGGCGAAGGGCTGCAGGGGCTGAGGTCCATCTCCTGCGACGACCAGTGTAAACCCAGAGCCCCTCAGACCCTCGCCAAACCCGATACCCCTCGGCCCAAACCCTATGCAATTCAGGCCCTGACCGCTAACCCTAATTGCTTAAACATGCTTAAGCCCCAAAACCCCAAAACCCCAAGACCCAAGACCCCAAGACCCCAAGACCCCAAGACCCCAAGACCCCAAGACCCCAAGACCCCAAGACCCCAAGACCCCAAGACCCCAAGACCCCAAGACCCCAAAACCCCAAAACCCCAAAACCCCAAAACCCCAAAACCCCAAAACCCCAAAACCCCAAAACCCCAAAACCCCAAAACCCCAAAACCCCCCAAAACCCCAAAACAACCCAAAACCCCCTAAACCTCAACCCCAATCCCTAAACACCTCAATCCCTAAAACCCCCAAAGCCCTTTCGCCCCGCTGTCGCGCCTGTTCACAGGTGGATGCCACGGTGCTTGGACTGCCTGCCATGGTAAAGGCCTCCTGGGTGGGCGGCCAAGTGCCTTGGTCTTTTTTTCTAGCTTTCGGTGGTTTAGGGTTTAGGGTTTAGGGTTTAGGGTTTAGGGTTTAGGGTTTAGGGTTTAGGGTTTAGGGTCTAGGGTCTAGGGTTTCGGGTTTAGGGGGCCTAAACGGGTTGAGCGGTTGAGGTTAGGCAGGGTGACTAGTGATTCAGGCATGGGGACTGCTTCCCAGCCGAAGGTCCTACTTCAAGGTTCATGGTACTTATGAACCCAATGGGGTTGTGGGTTTAGGGTTTGGGGTTTACGGAATATTTAAATTATGACTATATTGGGGCACTTAAGGGGCTTCAAGTGGCTTATAAGTACATTTATAGTTGGTCATTAAGTACCATGAACCTCCAAGTAGGTTCAACACTGGGTGGCTGTGAGGCGCCGGCCCGGCACTGGCTCTGGAATGGCCTGCCAACTGCAGCGCAAGTCAGGGCATCTTTGCGCGGCAGGGTTCAAAGAGTTAAAGAGACAGAGGAAGAGAGGCAGAGAAAGAGAGAAGGAAAAAGAGAGCCAGAGAAAGAGAGACGGAGACGCAAAGCGAGAAAGAGAGATAGAGCGACAGACAGACGGGCGGATGCGGCCTGTGCCAAGGTCTTGACTTGATCTTGCTCGACGTCGAAAGCGTTCCTCGAGGGAGCAACTGGGTGACCCTCAGGGGGGTTGTGCTGAAACTCCAGTTAAACCAAGGAGCTCGTAACCAGGGCAGTGCAAGTACCACAGGACGCGTCGTGCAGTGTCGGTTTTTGCCGCCACCTGCTTTTTTCGCCACTCACACAGCCGAAGCGACTCGGGCACCCATCTGAGGCCCAGGGCTTTGCTGCTGCAAGCTTTGCCAGCAAAGACGTGCAACCTTGGCGTGCTGAGTCACTGAAAACTCGATCGCGACCCCCAAAAAGCCAGTTTTGACCCAAGATAGTCCAAGAAGTGGACACACCGAGGTATTGGAATTCGACCGTGGCTTTGCAGAGTGCCTTTCGGAGAAGCAGGCCGCAATATGGACTTAGGGATATTAAGAGTTTGGGGGGCAGGCTTGAAGATGTGTACACATGTATATGTATATATGTTTATATATATATGTTTTTTATATCTATTTATTTATCTATATGTATATTTATATTTATATTTATATCTATATTTATATCTATATTTATATCTATGTTTATATCTATATTTGTATCTATATTTATATTATATTTTTTGTATTTATTTATTTGTTTGTTTGTTTATATACACATGTTGCATGTCTTTATATTTATTAAGTGTATAATCACACATACATACGTACATACATACATACCTACATGCATACATATGTATAGTATAGGTAAATGGCTCTCTTCGCGACATGTGCACGTGGTCACAATCTGTGCCCGTCATGGTGCCTCGAGGATGGGGTCCTGCGAGTCCTGGGCCTCCCAGCGGCAGCTCCACCTGCCAAGGCCCGGCTGCCGCCCGAAAGCCCTAAACCCTAAATCCTAAACCCTGAGCCTTAAACCCTAAACCCCAAACCCTAAGCCATAAACCCTAAACCCCAAACCCTAAGCCCTAAACCCTAAGCCCGAAACCCTAAACTGACAAAGGACTTCCAGCCTCAGCTGTTCCCCAACGAAGTCCTCCAGCTCACACACCTCCGAGCATCCGGAAGAGGGCTTTCCATGTGGATGCGGGTGACACAGCTGTGGACCAGTAACGAAGCTGAGAGATGCAAAAGGCTCAAAACTGTGTTAATCGCAAGACTATTTCATTATTGTTATATATGGTTTGTATGTATGTATATATGCATAATATATGCATAGTATGCATATATAACAAATATAAACGTATGTGTATACATACATACATACGTACGTACGTACGTACGTACGTACGTACATACATACATACATACATACATACATACATACATACATACATACATACATACATACATACATACATACATACATACATACATACATACACACACACAGACATACATACATACATACATACATACATACATACATACATACATACATACATACATACATACATACATACATACATACATACATAAAACATGGTATGACAGCTACTATGTATAATATATAATATATAATATCCCGATCTGCTCGAATCCAGATTCTCGCATGCCTCATCTGGCTCGTCCTCTTTGTGACCTGCAGATTCTGGATTCCAGCAATCCAGTGGCTGGGCGGCAACAAAGCTATGATTTGCTTACCTGCAACCCCAAACCCCTACGAATGGCAAGCAACTCGCCGGGTTATCAGCCCAGCTGTGCAACCCAACAGCCAGCAAGAAACAGATGATCAGGGACCGATAAAGAAAAGTTCACGCGAGGCGTTCCGTCCGTTCCATCCGGCGTTCCGTTCCGGAGTTGCGTTCCGGCGTTGCATTCGTGCCTCTCCCTTCTTCGCCCCCAACCCCTAGAGATGTCTAGAGATACCCAGCCCTTCGGCTGTTCAGCAGCCGCGTTCGTAGAGGGTAAAGAGCCCTAATGCCTGAACCCCCAAACCCACACAACGGAAGGTTCCCATACGTAAGAGAGGATGTCCCTGGCCTTCGGCGGCTGGAGATTTGCGGCCAGCTCCCTGGTGCGCTTCGTGCCCTTTTGTGAGCTCTTGTCCGCACCTTATCACGCACTTTAGAGGGATCTTAGGTCTAGGGTGTTTGGGTTTTGGGGTTTTCAGTTTTTGGGTGTTGGGGTTCGCTCCGCACGAAGTGCAGGGCCGTACAGGAAAAAGCGCTCGCGCGAGGGTCTAGCTAAGGCCTGGCTCTGAGTCGCGCGCACGCCGATGAAGAATGCCAGAGCCCTCTCGGCAGCGTCCTTGCCACAACATTAGGGGTTGAGGGTTTTAAGGTTTAGGTTTCTTGGATTTTGGGTTTTTTTGGGGTTTTAGGGCTTTAAGGGTTTTAAGGCTTTTTAGGGTTTTTAGGAACCCTACAGTAGGCTGCATCTTGCAGAAGTAGGGTTTGATCTTGATTCTTGAATCACAGGCCCTTTTGGGAACTCCGAACTCCGAGGAACCTATTCGATTGAAGGTAGGAGATAGATAAGCCTCCATTTGAGGTTCAGGGGTTACGGTTATATCCGTGGTTCCTGGGGGAGTCTTTGGGCAGCCTTTCAAAAAAACCTCTCAGGGAATAGAGGGGCCACCCCTAGGAATTCCAAAGAACCCTAAACCCTAACCCTAAACCCTAAACCCTTAAACCTAAACCTCAAACCCTAAACCCTGAACCCTGAACCCTAAACCCTAAACCCTTGTGGAGATCCCTCCGAAGGCGCTGGGGGCCAAGCGCGCTGGGACTGCTTCTTTGAAGGCCACCAGCCGCCCAGCACGTGGTGCGGCCTTACAAGGGCTAGGGTTTAGGGTTTTGGGTTTAGGGTGTGGGGTTTAGGCTTCAGGGTTCAGGGTTTACGGTTTAGGGTTTAGGGCGAGGCCAGGGTTCAGGGCACTCCCGGGTGTTCGGGTTTTCGGGCACTTCAAGGTTCAAAGTTGAGGGGTTCGAGCTTTTTGGGTTGAGGGTTTGTAAGGGCTTAGGGTCTAGGGCCTAGGGACGATAGGGTTTGGGGTTTAGGGTTAAGAGCTGCGCTCTAAACCTACCCACCTCACCCCCCAAGTCGAGCAAGATGCTCCATTTTTCTGCACGCACGGTGTCTGGCTCCATCAGGTTTTCTAAAGAGGCTCTACAGCTGTTCAATTTGGAGCTTTTTGGGCTGAGTCTTTTCGGGCTGTGCCTCTTAGTATTCTGCAAAGTTCTGATGCCCAGTGGAGCTCGCATGCGCGCGAGCGTCCGCCTCGCCCTTGAGTCCTGCTTGGCAAACGCAGCAGCCTTGGCTTAGCTGGGGCTTCAGGGCTTTAAGGGCTCAAAGTAGGGTTTAGGACAGGACATGGAATCATTGCGACATCCTGCCCAGCTCAAGCAGGCCGCGTAAAGTGAAGCTCCCGGTGTCCGTGAACTGACGCTGCTTGTTCTGCTCCACAACGAATTCTCGAGCCTGAGGCACCACAGGCAAAGTTACATGCCAAAGTGGGCGCCAGGTCATGGAAACTCTCGTCGTGCCTTGATGTCGGCCAAATCTGCTGCAGGGCCGACTGCAAAGGCAGTGACGTCTGCAGATTCAACTGCATCCTTGTCTGCAGCCAGCGCCAAAGCATCGTAGTGGATGCCATCGTATATCAGCATGTACCGCATCTTGTAGCCTTGCCCCTGAAGCGAAAGAAGGCGAAAGAAGAGAGCCACAAAGATGTTACATGTCAAACTTCTCACAGGGTCTTGAGCCCACCATGGGCTCACACGTCAGCCCACAAGATTCCACTACATCGGCGTCCTCGCCGTGCAGGTCTCGCCGCATGGTGCATATGTCATATGCTGCAATTTCCTTGGCGAGACATCACGTGCACTCCACAGTGTCACAAATCTGGGATGTTTGGGTTTCTCAGGTGGAAGTAAGTCAGGCCGTGCAGATCTTCTGTTGGCCTGTGCTGGGTTTTCGAATGCGGTCATGCCCAATGTCAGAATCATATTGCACTCAAATATGGGGGTTTCCGAAATTTGGGGTACCTTATTAAGGTCCTTATCATAAGGTATTCCTACTATCTGGGGGACTATTTTAGGGGTCCCTTAAACCCTAAACCCTAAACCCTAAACCCTAAACCTCAAGCTTGCAGAACAGTTCATGCAGCTTGGGCTCACATTGGAAGTGCTCAGCTAAAACGCTTAGCTCGATGGCACCACCCCAGTTGTTCGCCTGCTGTGCCAGCATGTGCAAGCATCTACATGGCCCCTTGGTTTAGGGTTTAGGGTTTAGGGTTTGGGGTTTAGGGTTTAGGGTTTAGGGTTTAGGGTTTAGGGTTTAGGGTTTAGGGTTTAGGGTTTAGGGTTTAGGGTTTAGGGTTTAGGGTTTAGGGTTTAGGGTTCATATGGTCACTTACCGTACCTTCTTTACAGGGTTCTGGGTATGGGCCCTTGGGTTTTGTAGGGTATAAGGGGCATACAAGGGTTTCCGAATGAAGGGCCCATATTAAGGGGCCATGGAACTACCCTAAGACAGCAGCGCCAGCCATGCCCTATGACGAAACCAAACCAGTCTTGCCGCAGTGCGCATCCTGGAAATATACATTCGCCAAATACTGCTCCCCACTGCGTGCCTGCAGGATCCATTCGCAGTAAGCTGCCTGAGATAGGCAGGTTTACGATACCATCTGCTGCCGAGAGCTGTCAACATGGCTGCAATGCACTGCAACACTGCAAGAAAGCCCACTTGTCGCATTTGACACCGACCCATGCGACAAGAAGCGTACATACTGCGCTAAGTTGCATTCGGCTTTGCAAGGAAAGCCTGGAGGCGGATGCGAGGGTTGTTTGTGCTCAGTAGCTGCTGAGTTGTTACTGGACATGACCAAGGGCTTTCGGCACTTTCTTTACTGGTTGCACTGCGCTCCCAAGTACAGGGTCGTTCTGTGGGGCTAGGCTAGCGAGGCTTAGGTGTTGGACGACGAGAGCAGGGGGCCTACATTTGGGGCTCAGATTCTAGGAGGTAGGGTGGAGTAGTCGGGTTGCTTCCATGTGCGAAACGCGCGTATGTACCCTTGGCGCTTGCCCTGGAATAGCCTGGATCGCAGCCTGAAGACGCCAGCTCCCATCAAGATGATACGAAACAAGGAAACGCCCCGCGAAGCGACCCGCGCCGTGGCACGTGTCTTTTTTAAGCAATGACACGAGTTGTACCGAGGTAAAACGACGATTTCGGCCGTGGAAGGCTTAGCTTTCAGAGTCAACGTCGCGCAGCCTGTGAAGATTTTTCGAAAACATGTTCTTCGTCGAGGCTAAAGCCACTTGTTTGCAATCCTTTGTCTTTTGGCGTTGCAGGTATGCAGTTCCTTTCTCCGGACGAATGGCGATTTGAGGGGTTTACGCAAATAAGGGGCCCCTCATACAGACTCCCATAGAAAGGACCCCAACCAGGAATCCCTATTACCGTAATCCCCCACCCCAAGTCTGTGCGCTGACAAGGAATCTGAGCCTCGAGGAAACATTGGGGGTCTTGACTAAAAGCTCTCTTTTCGGATGTGCGAAGACTCATAACATGCTCCGCTGCTGTAGCTTCTGGGCACTGCAAGAACCGCAGCAACGCAACACAATGCAACGCAAAGCAAAGCAAAGCAAAGCAAGGCAAGGCAAGGCAAGGCAAGGCAAAGCAAAGCAACACTCCATGAAGCTTGGTGTGATATGATTTGCCCAGACCCATACCGGGAGTTACCATTTCATCTAGGGACTTTGGTGCCCAAGAAAAAAGTCAGGAAACATGGACCCTTACGATTTAGGGCTTAGGGAGTAGGGCTTAGGGCTTAGGGCTTAGGGCTTGGGCTTTGGGCTTTGGGCTTTGGGCTTAGGGCTTAGGGCTTAGGGCTTAGGGCTTAGGGCTTACGGCTTAGGGCTTAGGGCTTAGGGCTTAGGGCTTAGGGCTTAGGGCTTAGGGCTTAGGGCTTAGGGCTTAGGGCTTAGGGCTTAGGGCTTAGGGCTTAGGTCTTTTTGGGTATCCCGGCCTCGCAGTAGCGCTCGGGGTCCGCGGCGATGCGCTCGGCCACCACCTTCCGCAGCCCGGGCGCTTCGCCCCGCAGCTTCTCCCGGACCTGGTTTTTTTTTTTAGGTTTTAGGGTTTAGGGTTTAGGGTTTTTTGGTTAGTTTTTTTGGGGTTTTAGGGTTTAGGGTTTTTCTGGTTTGTTAAGGGTTTTGGGGGGCGGTTGCGGCGAAGGTTGAGGCCCTTGTTCTGAAGAACGCCGCGGAAAGGTTCCAAGCGGGATCCACACGGACAACTACAGCAAAGTATCCAGACAAGGAGCGTACCCAACGGCGTTGAAGAGACAACTGTTGTCAGCCTCTATGACTCGGCGCACAACGACGCCCCTGGCACCCTCTGGCTCGACCTCAAGGACCGCATGTCATTGCGCACAGCAACCGTTACTCAGCGTACCCTGCTGGACGCTCCTGAGACTGTGGCTTCGCGGACGATGAGAGATTCCCCACTCCGCAACCCAAGCCTCAGGAGCAAGATGGCGTTGAAAAGGCACCTGGAATGCAGCAAGCTTCCCTGGGGGACCACTGAGCCCTGGTCGACGAAACTGTCGAAGACCCGTCCTTCAGAACGCGCACGCGCGTGGCTGTGAGACTTGGCGGGACAGGGTTGTAGGCCAGGTTGAGGGTTTAGGGTATAGGGTTTAGGGTGTAGGGTTTGGAGTTTAGAGTCTAGGGCTTAGGATTTCGGGTTTGGTCCTCCGGTAGCTCCAAAGGCTTCGGTGGAAAGCCGGCAAGAAGCTGCACACAGGGACGGGCTACGCCCGATGCCTGGGCAAGAGCGGCAACTAATATCATCAACTGTATACGAGTACATAATAAATCATATTACAATGATGTACTAAACAGAAGAACATATAATCGCAAAGTTACAGAAGCGTATAACTTTGATACAACAACGTACAAATATAATCACAGAATATTCAACATTACGTTGTAACAAAATCATGTAAGCGAAATCCGTCTCTCCAGCAAGCTAAGCCAAAGTAAGCCGCCTGTGCTATCTCATCGAGAAAAGCATCGATGGGCTTGTCTTGCGGCACACCTTCCCAGAAACAGTTCGCTTGGGCGCCAGTAGGATGTGTGCTGCGAGAGTCATCCAAAGCATGGGCCTCGTAGGGTCGTCTGAGAGGTCGGCCCTTTGACTCTAAAATCCATTCAGAGTTGAAGTCTGCCAATGTGTGGTGTGGACTTCAGGTGGCTCATTGCCGGGAGGCTCAGCTCTTCATGGTGTTTGCCCTGGCTCAGCTTGTGTTCAGTGTCTTCAGCAGCTTGAACCAGATTGCAAAGGAAGGTGCGTGCTGTGGCAATCCGGGTCGGGGTCTGCTCTGAACCCTAAAAACTACCTGATCAGCAGCCAGCGAAAGCTTCGCACTGGCTGGGGACCAAGCACGCCATCTAGCAAGAAGGAGGTCGTCGCGCGGAACTGCAGGCTCGATCCAGCCTCAGTGTGCCCCACAAGCAAATTCTATGTATGGGGAATTCTGGGGGGGCCAGGGGATCCCATGCGGGTCTCTGGAAAGTACCTGAATTCTGCATTCCCTACGAGGAACTCAAAAGCGCGTCGGACTTGTTCTCTCAAGAACTTGGGCACCGGGCCATGCGATTCTCATGACTCCACTGAAGCACCTCGCAGAAATACAGCTCTGCAACCCATGCGCGGATACCTTTGCGCTAAGCTGCACTCTTCTCGTCATAAGGAGCCCCGCCCTTGAATCATGAAGTCGGGGACCGTCCCTGTTGAAGAACTCGTTTCATAAGGAGTGCTACATTACAGCGAAAGCTGCCTCCATCAGGGCATTTCCCCAAATAGGGGTACCCCTTTGATCCCCCAAATAGAATAGAATCCCCTCAAAGGGACCCCCAAAACCCTATTTTCGGAAACCCCCATAAGGATACCCACAGGTAGAAGAAGCCCGTCTTCCCCAGTCGAAAAGACTAAGCCCAGGGCCGCACAGCTGCTGGGAAGCGGATGCGCCTCAAAAGGCAGTCTATACCCCCCTTAGAACCTTTTATAAAAATGTTATTTCAACATGCTCCTGGGTTTTATACAAACAACAATAAAAATCACAAAAAAAAATTCCCAAGGGGGCTATAGCAGTGTGTTCTCAGCAGGGAATCACGGATTGGGCTTGGTTCAGGGCTTCGAGGGTGGGGTGATAGGGTTCCCTAGGAACCCCTTAACAGGCCATAGTAGTCAAAGAGGATATAAGGAGGCGGAACTCCATTGTCTCAAACGGGCATTCCCAAAATCGGGGTACCCCTTTTATATCCCAAGTAGAATAGAATCAACAGAATCCCCTCAAAGGGACCCCCACAAAAGGGTACCCTTACTTTCGGAAACCCCCCCAAAACCGACTGGGGGTCGGTCCTTGCTGCTCTGCACAAACTCCTGCAGCTTGGAGATGGGTCCCTGAACGCGCAGGTTCAGTCGTGGTGCGTTGGCCGCAACCTCTCCGGAGCTGCCTCAACCCCCCCAAAACCCTAAACCCTATAACCCTAAACCCTATAACCCTAAACCCTATAACCCTAAACCCTAAACCCTAAACCCGAACCCTAAACCCTAAACCCATATTAAACCTGAACCATCTCCGCTCTCCTTAGTCAGAAATACAACTTCTGCAGCAACTTCTGAACCTAGGCCAAGCCAGCAGCCAAACTCAACAGTTCAAAGGGTCTACTGAACCTTAAGACCCCCTACACCCTGAACCCCAAAGCAGCAAACCCCCTGAACCCTAAACCCTAAACCCTAAATCCTAAACCCTAAACCCTAAACCTAAACCTTCCATTAAGGAGGCCTTCGAGCTGCGGCTGTTGGTATTCACCGGGCTGGTGACATCGGAAGCACTGGCTCCACTGTTGCTCCTGCAGCCAGATCTTGCTTGGAGGTTCATGGTACTCTTTAACCCAACAGGGTTTCGGGTTTAGGGTTTCGGGTTTAGGGCTTAGGGCTTAGGGCTTAGGGTTTAGGGTTTAGGGAATTATAACTGTACTTATAACCCGATGACAACCATATTAGTGCACTTAAGGGCCGTATAAGTGGGCTACAAGTACAGTTATGCTGAGTTATACTTGGTGAATAAGTACCATGAACCTCCAAGTACATGGTCTTTCCCAGACCCCTGGGAAGAACCATAAAGTAGAACCCCCACATAATACCATTGGGCCATTCTTGGGAACCTTAAGGGGATCTACTTTTTGGATCCTCCCAGCAGTCTGGCTTGGGGGTTTTTGTGGGCGTTAAAGATGTCTCTGCCCTCAGCTCTTCGGCTCAGTCAAAGGAGGCCGGGCCTGTGGTAGTTGCGCATGGCAGTGGGGCTGCCCGGGTAGAACTCCACCGGGGACATGGGCGAAAGCGCCGTTGGTGAGAGCGGGTTCGGCATTGACATCTGGGACATTGCCGATGGCGAGATGGGTGACATCGGCGACATGGCCTGTGATGACTTCATGACAAGGTCAACGCAGCTAAGCTCGTCTCGAAGCCCATGCTAGCTAACTCTTGCACCTGGCCCATCTGGTTCACTGCCATAGGCGGCATCAGAAGAAGCATGGGCCCTGTCGGGGACTGGGCAGGCCTCGAAAGAATGCCAAGAAGGGATGAAGATAGACGTCGCAACCGACCCTCTTGCCACGGAATCCGCATGTCTCTGGCGCTTCACGAGTCTAAGCCGCAGGCCCCGGCACATCGTTGGAAGTCGTTGTCCACAGCGGAGACGACAGCTGGGCAGAAGGAGCGAAGGAGCACCCACGAGGGAGACTGCACAAATCGAGCTCAACCCTAAACCCTAAACCCTAAACCCTGAATCCTGAACCCTGAACCCTAAACCCTAAAAAATGGCAGGCCTGAGCTTGCTGATGCATCATTTGGGACGGATCGACGTTGACCTTGCTGCGCCAAACACGAAAAATATGGGGGGATGTCCACAAATTCGGGGTACCTTGTTGGGGTCCTGATTATGAGGGGATCCTACTACTTTGGGACCTCGAGTGGGGGTCCCATATTGTCGTAAACCCCCATATCAGAGCAGTGCTTGACTTCCGAAGCCAAGGCAACGGCCGAGTACTGCATGGTAGGCGGAACAGTGCAGAAGGCCATGTCTCTTCTGGCCTGGTATTGCCTCAGCTGCGGAACGTGTGATGCAATGCTTGAAGCTAGGATGTTGGACTCACTTTGGTCTGGGCCCCCTCTGTCAAGACGAGTCTGCCGGGTTATTCAGGATCTTGGGGGACTGCTGGGGGTTGGGGGGGGGGGGGGTGCCTTGTGGGATCCGCTAGAAACTCAAGCGACTGCCGGGGGAGCTGAAATTTTACAGACCGTCTGAAGAGGGCCCACATGGAAGAGAGGGGACGGCAACATACTAAGTCCGCAATGTTGCCCATACTGTCAGAGCTCACACACATGTCCTGACCAATTCACAGCAAAGGAAGCCGTCACGCGAATGCAAGCATCCCTTGCTCAGGCTGTTCAGGCAAGTCGCCTTGGCGTTGCCTTGCTGGTTCTTTGATCTCTGTAAGCCGAAACTTTGGCAACACTCAAGCATGTGCAGCTTCTTGCAGCTTCATCTGCATATCATGCCGTACAGTGCAGCCGTCACTGAGACCTTCCCTGAAAATTCTGCCTTGGATCTTTCCACAGGCCGAGCTTCCTCCTCCCCCCATTGCAACACATCTAAGCCTCGTCGTTGCGAAGTTTAACGGCGCTCTCAGGCCATGCCGTTTGAAGCGCAGGACACCGGCATTAAATCAAATCAAAGGCATGAATTTCTGACAGGTCGTCCGCTCAAAACCGGAGAGACGCAGAGACACACACAGCTGTGGCATGCGGCTACAGATCAACGCAAACTCTCGGACGAACTGCCACGCTACAGAGGTCGAGGGCCAGACTTCATGAAGCCCCCAACCTAGCTGAGTGGCTCAGTGAAAACGTCAACGGCAATATTCCAGCATTCCTAGCCTGAAAGATGGTCTCATGAAGTCTGGCGGCATCCGCCAAAAACTGCTACGATTGCTTCACAAATTCACCAGCTTCAACATGCACCAAGGCCCTCATTGTAAGCGGACCTCAACACGACGACGAACCTCAGTCGACCTGGGCATCAACTACAGCAGGAAGGAGGAAGTCTGGCAGCCAGTGCTGACGCCCGAGTCGGTGGCGTACTGCCCCAGGTGTGTGGGGTTCAAACACCCCCAGCTGGAATCAGCGACGCCTTAGGCACCACAGCTGCTTGAACGCACAAGACCCCGTGTTGTTCTGGGCGGCCAGCTCCGCTTTTGCACAGATCTGCCTGAACCAGGCCATGGTTTAGGGTTTAGGGTTTAGGGTTTAGGGTTTAGGGTTTAGGGTTTAGGGTTTAGGGTTTAGGGTTTAGGGTTTAGGGTTTAGGGTTCAGGGTTCAGGGTTCAGGGTTCAGGGTTCAGGGTTCAGGGTTCAGGGTTCAGGGTTCAGGGTTCAGGGTTCAGGGTTCAGGGTTTAGAGTTTAGGGTTTAGGGTTTAGGGTTTAGGGTTTAGGGTGTAGGGTTGGGAAACACTGCTGCACATGTGCAGCACTTCACCGAAGCCTGAGCCAACCAGTGGCGCTGGATACACGTGCGAGCGTCCCAGCCTGGCACGACTATGCATGGCTGGTCCAAAGTCTCAGAAGCAGCGGGTTCTACGCGCTACCACTTCTTAGCCCCTTATGGTCCCCCAACATGGTTCTAATTGGGCCAGAAGTACAGTTATTGTTGGGTTCATAAGCCCCTTAAGTGCCCCAACATGGTGATAATTGGGTTATAAGTACAGCTATTATTAGGTTATAATTGGGTTACAAGTACAGCTATTATTAGTTTATAATTGGGCTATAAGTACAGCTGTTAAGTGAAGAAGTACCATGAACCTCCAAGTAGCGCCTGGATGGTGGTCTGGAGAGTCGCACCAGTTCCAGAAGAACCAGCCATGGGATGCGTGGCCTGAAAGACGTGAAGATCCTTCTGCTGCTGTCTATGCTGGCTTTAGGGTCTAGGGTTCAGGGATTAGGGTTTAGGGTTTAGGGTTTAGGGCTTAGGGTTTAGGGTTTGGGGTTTGGGGTTTGGGGTTTAGGGTTTAAAGATCCTTCTGCTGCTGTCTATGCTGGCTGACCCAGGGACTCCAATACCCCTTAGTTAAGGAGTATTCCTTATTCCTTCATTAAGGGGTATTGGAGTCTCTGGGGACGGCTGTTCTGAGGATCACGCCATAGGCGTCAAGCTGTGCCGCCGCAAAGGCTTTGTAAGCCTGATCCTGCACCCATGCTTTGACAAGAGTTGCCAGAGTGGACTGCCCTTGACTGCAAGCTGAAGAGGGAAGGTCCTTTAACAGCTTTCTCAGCATGAGCAGAACTTGTGGGGAGCGGCAGGAACGAAAGCTACGAGTAGTGCAGTATCCCACCCCAGAGCATCGCCAGAGAATCCCACACCCCCAGAGAATGCCTGGGGTGCCCAACCCCAGAGAACCCCCGGACGCAGAGTATCGCCCACAGAATCCTGGAGTGCCCAGCCCCGAGCGCTTTTGTCACAGAATTTCTGGAGTGCCCAACTCCAGAGCATCCCCAACGCAGGCGTAAGAACATCACCAGACAATCCCTGGAGTGCCCTGCCCCAGGAGAATTCCTGCAGTGCCCAACCGCAGAGTGTCCCCAGAAAATCCTTAGGTTGCCCCAGAGAAGCCCCTGGAGTGCAACTTAGAGTATCCCCACAGACTCCCTGGAGCGCCCGACCATGGAGTATCTGCAGAGAATCCCAGGAGCGCCCAACCGCAGAGTATCCCCGGAGAATCCCCTGAGCATTACACTCACCCGTATACGGTTTCGGCGCTGCTCTTGGAGATGCATTGTAGCATGTCGCGCACCCGTACATGGCTTCGACGCTGCGCTTGGAGATGTAGGAACGTGGTTGCGACGCTGCTCTTGGAGAGGTACTAGAAGGCAGATCTTTGATCCTGAACCTGCGGGGCTTAGCGTCAGCGGTCCATGAAGGCAGACACTGTGCCTTGAAGCTAGCGGTTTTATTGAGGTTGTACACGCCATTATTATATTTGCCCGCGGGTATAACTTCATTCATTCTCTAGTTTTCATATTTATTTAGTAAGCCCCGGGCATTTAATACGTTCGCCCGGGATTATAAGAAGAGAATTAAATGTGCGCATGAATGAACTTATGAGCGCACGCGTGATGCATTTGCAAATCTTATTGAATTCACGCGTATTATTAATAAAACGGCTTTATAAGGAACGAATAATTGCAGGAAATTTAGTATATTTGTAGGGGCTCTTTGTAAATATAATTGTTGCCCCAAAGATTTATAATTTAGTTCGTTCGTTAAAATCGTGAACGCAATAAAATCCCCTATTTTTCTATTATTAGAAAGTTATGAAAGGATTTGAGAACGAATGAATTTAATAAACGAAAGAAGGATTTTAATACGGGATTTAAGGTTAGATTTACAAAGTGTTTGTTCCCAGCCCTCAGAGGCTAGCTTTAGGGTTTAGGGTTTAGGGTTTAGGGTTTAGGGTTTAGGGTTTAGGGTTTAGGGTTAAGGGCTTAGGGTTTAGGGTTTAGGGTTTAGGGCTTTCGTGATTTCGAGCAACCCGGATGGCCTTTGTGTCTGACTGGGCAAGAGCCCTATCTGGTAGTGCCAAGCTCCACTCACCCACCACAGCCGGCCTTAGCCAACGGAAATAGGGCTTAGGGTTTAGGGTTTAGGGTTTAGGGTTTAGGGCTTAGGGTTTAGGGATTTAGGGGATTTAGGGTTTAGGCCGACACACTAAACTAAGGGAAGCCCCCATGCTGTCTGAGGCCCCAGGCACACGCCGAAGAATCTTCCGATGGCGCTTGGTCATCCTGGCCATGCGCAGCGACGTTCAGGATGCTTTCTTACGGAAGTTGTGTGGTCCCTGAATATGGGCCCTTTAAATGGGGACCCCTCAAGGGCCCATACTTCAGAACCAGTTTCAAAAGGTAAGGGAGCACATTAAGGCACCATGAAACGACCCTTAGATGATTCACAAGTAGGCTCCCTCACTAGAAAAGAAAGGGGGAAGCTTGGGATTTAAAGGCTTGTTGAAGGTTGATGGAATGCTCCCATGGGCCTGAGGTGACTTCCCAGCCCTTGGCGACGCCACCAAGCGCCAAAGCCTGCGTCCAGTTGGGGTGCTGGTGGGGAAGGCCCCAAATCTTCCCACACCAAAGAAAACTCAGAACCCCTAACCTAAAAGAATCGGGTTCCCCAACCGCCAAAATCTTCTAGAACCCTAAGCGCCTAAAATGCCTAAATATCTGCATCAAGGGGCAGTGGTACAAGTGGAGGTCAAAAGCCACGTTGGCATGTCTGGCGAAGCCATCGAAAGCGCGGGTCCAGAGTCGCCAAATCTCGGGCAGATTGGGGTTTCAGGGTGGGGGTTTCGGGTTTAGGGTCTAGGGTTTAGGGCTTAGGGTTTAGGGCCTAAGGTTTAGGATTTAGCGTGTAGGGTTTGGGATCTAAGGTTCGGGGTAGGGCTTGGGTTTACAGCTTTTGGGGTTTGCAATAAGATTTAGGACTGCTCTCTTATTCTGTGTTATGAAGGTGGTAAGCTGTTAACAAAAAGATAAGCCCCATCTGGATGCAAAACCCGAATTTGCGTCAGCTTTGCGACTGCACGTAGTTCTATGTTGCGAAAATTGTTGCGCGGGCGGAAAGCCGCCATAAACACCCACAACAAAGTATCAGGGGAATCAGGGGCTGCAATTTCTTAATGATGACAATATTCACAACCAAATAAACGGCCCGGCGTAGAGACGAGACTTTAGTACTGTCTCTCGATGACTTTTAGGGCACGGATGAAAATGTGGAAACGAGATCCTTGACCTCTTGTACGTCCTTTATTCCACCAAGTTCAGGGCAAGATGCCTGCGGCCCCCACGAAAGTGCTTCTTAAGGAAGGCTTAAGGGTCCCCCTTATACGAACAGCCCTTAATAGTGATTGTAGTACCCCCTATTATATCCCTATTAAGTTAAGACTGTGAGTATAAGGGGGAACTTTCCAAGGTACCTTAACTACTCGTTCGGAGATTTCTCTGGCATCTTGAAGAGTCCTTCTAGCGCAGGGTGCGAAAACGGTCTCAGACCTCTATCTGTTAGGGTTCCGGGTCTGGGGGCAGGGATTGTGGGCTTTTGTAAAGCTGCCCGGGGCTTCATTTTCACGGTTTGCCTTACCTGCCTACAAATTAGTTGGGTCTCACCCCTTCAAGTCTCGACCCATGAGTTACAAGGTTTTCCCCCAACAAAACAGGTGAGCAAGTGGCTGCCCCAGCTAGGCCCAAAAGGGATGACGCATCCTAAAGTTACTAAGTGTTGCCCGTGCGCGGCCTCATCCAGTCGCTCCGTCCTGTACACTGGCAACCTCAAGTTGGGTACGTGGGCTACGAAGCAGTGGGTTTAGGGTCTAGGGTTTAAGGTCAAGGACCCTACACCCTTAACCCTAAACCCTAAACCCTAAACCCGAAACCCCTAAACCCTAAACCCTAAACAACCGTAGGCAGTTCTGCCAAAATCTGGGCTTCGGGCATGATGCTGACTTCATCCGGCGGCATGTACGCTCTAATGGCCCGAACTGCCTTCACAAGGGAGTGGGGACGGGCAAGGAGAACGCAAGACGTGACTGGGGTGATGCCCACAATGCCCGCAATGCCCGCAATGCCTCATCATAAAACTGACAGAGCACATCTGCCGGCACCTTCGTCCACTCCAGGCACAGTCAGCAGCATGCTTCCAAAAAGGGGACACCCAACACTTTCCGAAAGGCAAAAAAAACGCGCTCCCCACACTGGGTGCCGTACCTTCTCGCTGGGTTCGTTGCAGACAGCTATGCCAGAGACTGCAGGGTGGCCTGCTTGGAGATTCATGAACTTATGAACCAATATATAAAAACTGTACAAATCACCCACTTGAAAGCCCCCTAAGTGCCCGAATATGGCTATAATTGGGGTGATAAGTACAGTTATTGTTGGGTGAAGAAGTGCAATGGACAATGAACCTCCAAGTGCCGACAGAGCTCAGGCCGATATGCAGGTCGAACAAAATGGGGAGGCCCCCCCTCAAGCTTACGACCAATTCTGGGGGTTTCCGCAAATAAGGGAAACCCAATGCAGACCCCCAAATAGTAGGATTCCATTGTAAGAAGGACACCAACCCCCAATTTCGGAAACCCCCCAATTGCTTGAGGAGGGAGGGCCCTGAGGGAGAGGTGGAGAGGGGGAAAGGCAGAAGTAAACAAGGGGCGAGGGAGTGGTAGAGAGGGAGAGTGGAGAGAGTGAGTGCGAGAGGGGAGAAAGAGACAATCTGTGGCGAGCGGGGCGAGTTCGGGCCTTGGAAGCGTCGCGAGATGATCTTCAGCGCCTGTCGAGGACAGCTGAGCACGGAAAAGACAAACCCCCCGCCCCCTCTGCTTTGACGGGTTTAGTGTTTAGGGTTTCGGGTTTGGGGTTTGGGGTTTGGGGTTTGGGTTTTGGGGTTTAGGGTTTCGGGTTTAGGGTTTAGGGTTTAGGGTTTCGGGTTTCGGGTTTAGGGTTTAGTTTTTAGGGTTTAGTCACTTTGGTGAACTTCCTCTGCTGCGCACACAGCGCCTGGCCTCAATCGACTCATCGAGCCGCCAGTGCTCCCATCGCCAGTCCTCGTGAGCCACCCTCACCCAGCTCAACTTACCAAACTCCCGCTTCACATGGGTGGTTGTCAAAATTCTGATCCCTTTTTGGGATACCCTACATATTAGGTGCCGTAGTATATTTGGGACCCCAAAAGGGACTTTGACGTACTTTGACAGCCACCCCCATGTCTTCTGAAATTCCGAAAGCTCTGCTTCTCTGCGCGGGCCTTGCGCTCTCGCCCGCAAGGTCTCTCACCACCTGCATCGCTCGCGATTCACGGAAACAGGCTTCAACGGTCTTGGATGATAAAACAACTCACGCAGCTCTTGCTCCAGGGCTTAGGGTTCCCACTTTCACCACCGGGAGCGCCATGAAGATCAAGGAGGACCTGCAGCCTCAGCTCCAATCGCAAGAACGACTTGCACAAGGGTCTAGGGTCCAGGGTCCAGGGTCCAGGGTCTAGGGTTTAGCGTTTAGGGTTTAGGGCTTAGGGCTTAGGGCCACTCACGTCCTCTAAAACCTTGGGACATGACCCCAGCCGCTGGCACCACATCAGGGCACGATCGAGGAAGTCCAGACCTGCGCCAGGAACTCAAACGCCCACCATCCACAACGCGGCGCGGCGATATTGCGATGCCTGGGCCAACGTAGAGCTCGCCACTGGCCTAGGCCACATGGGACCCAGAGCCAATGTAAAGATGCCAAAGGCTGGACCTTCAAGTCCCTCCTTGTTTTGGGTCTCTTGCTGTTTTTTTGTTTGAAGGGGGGGGGGGGTGGGGAGGGGAGGAAGGGGGCAACATGGGGAGATTGGGGATGTGACCCACCAAGTTGTGGGAATTTCGAGGCCGCAGGAGAAGCATGGCCAAGTGTGCGGCAGGGCCAGTCACGATCCAATAGCCGAATGGAATGCGCACGGCGTTGAAACCTGCGCCCGCGGCTGCGCAAGGAGCCCACCGACACGCTCTCTTGAGGCTGCGGCCCATGGAGCGGATGTTGCGAAAGTCATCTTCCAAAATGAAGGTGGCTCGGTGAGCCTCCCATTTGAGCTTATCTAGCATCGCGCGAACCTTCACCGACGTGGGGGTCTACGAAGATAAGGGGCCCCTACAGTAGGCCCCCAAATAGTGGGATTCCCTACCCCGAATAAGGTCCCCCTAGTTTCGGAAACCCCCACATGAAGAAAGCGCACGCGCACGAAACTGAAGCACAGCCACAATGGCACGCCTGGATCGCCTCCACGGTTTGCTTCACGCCGAGCTGCTTCCGCATCTTGTCAAGCAGGCGCCACCTGGTGAAGACCCCAAGCCTTCTAAACATCGGCCCAAAGCCTAGACCCCAAACCCCCAAGCCCTAAACCCTAAACCCCAACCCTAAACCCCAAACCCCCGCCCAAAGGGAGCCCAAACCCTCAACCCTAACCCCTTGGGATGCTCCCCCTGAAACGAACAGTCCTTAAGCAAGATTCTAATCGGGAGCACGAGAATCCCAACTAAGGACTGTTAGTATTAGGGTGAACATCCCAACTCACCCTAAACCCTAAACCCTAGACCCTAAACCCTAAGTCCTGGGCTCCCGGGCTCGCAGGTCGCCTTCGGACCAAACTGCTGGAACAACTCGTGGCTCGGCCCGGGCTCCAGAAGTAGCCAGCCACCGAGGTTCACACCTGCATCTTGGGAACTTCAGGGTTTAGGGTTTAGGGATTAGGGTTGAGGGGTTTAGGGTTTAGGGTTTAGAGTTTAGGGTCGAGGGTTTAGGGGTTTAGGGGCTTAGGGTTTAGGGTCTAGGGTTCAGGGTTTCGGGTTTGGGGGGTGTTGGGGGTTTAGGGGTGTAGCGGGTTCAGGGTCTAGGGGTTAGGGTTTGGCGGATTCGCGGCCTGGCCTCTGTAGGGCGGCCTCTTCCAATACAGGTGCCTGCGATGCTAAGAGCCACTGTCCGTGCGCTGCAAAGCATGGGTCCTCTGGCTGGTTCTTAGTAGGGAATGAGGGAATGAGGTACCCTATATGATCCCTTAAAGGGTATATATAGGGCCCTCATTCCCTCATTCCCTACTAAGAACCAGGGGGTCATTCTCGGCCTTTGCTGTTCAAGGAACCGCGACAGGCTCGAGGCAGCCCGACCAAGGTCCTGATGCACGACTGGTGCCTAGGCGGTTTTAGAGCTTGGGGTGTGCGGTTTAGGGGCTGGCCCGAGGTCCTGCGAGACTTCGCGCCAATAGGCCACTGCAGAGAGTGACAAAGTACGGACACGCGCCAAGACCACATCCTGCAGAGCTGCGGGCCATGTGAAAATACAGGCATAGCCGCTGCCCTGCAGAATCTCTCAACAGCCATCTTGCATCGGGTCCTCTACAGGAGATCCTGTCGCAGATACCACTGCCGCCGACCTGGCAAGAGTTCTTCCAAACAGGCTCAGCCGCAGGTCGGACCCACCGGAGCTGGCCCAGAGCCGGGCAGCCGAAGCCCTGAACCCCAAACCGCCCGAAACCCTTCACCCTAAACCCCCAAACCCTAAACCCTAAACCCCAAACCCTTCTAGAGGGGCTGGCCTCTTGGTTGTTCCCTCCTTGCGCAGCGCAGCGCAAAGAGCAGGCCCAAGGCGTTCGCTGTGCCAGCCGTTGGCCTGCTCACTGCTTTGGAGGCTTCAGGGGGATAGGGTTCAGGGGTTCAGTAACCCAATCATGACTGTACTTATAACCCAATTATTACCCTATTAGGGTACTTAAGGGGAGGGCTCAGGGTTTAGGAATCCGGGTTCCGGCTTCCGACGCAGTACAGCCAGCTGTCGCAGCCTGGGCCAGTGCTTTTGCCAAGGTTGAAAGCGCGAGACGCACCACCTCGGAATGGAGGCCAAAACAGGTGTGCAACATGCCAGCCACTGTAGACCTGTCAAACAAACGCAGGTGTGTGTGTGTGTGTGTGTCTAATTATGATAAATACATGTGTGCATATATATATATATATATATATATATATATGTGTGTGTGTGAACACACACCCACATAACTATACATATATATATATATACATATATTGTCGCTGTGTATATGTATGAAAAATTCTTCAAGCATAAGAAACATAGAGCTAACAGGCAAGTATAACTATCGGATTATCTTAAGCAATGAAATGTAAACACAAATCTGGAATCTACAGATTTGTAAACGTTTACACCTATACAAACGTTCAAATTTGTACTTAAGCATGTATGTAACTATGTAAACATGCAAATACAATCTACACATCTACAAAATACGAACATGAAAAATGTACAAGCCCATAAACATGAAAATCAAAAATGTAACTCAAATGCTACAAACACTTTGTATAAGTAATACTGAAACTTACAGTTCTAGAAATATGTGCATATGAACAAGAGAAAACACATCTACAAACATACAAATGAGTGGTCGCCAGTTGCGGTACCCTTAGGAGACAACACGGACTGGTTATAACAATAGCGAAGGCTATAGCCAAATTAGTTATTTACATGATACTTGTATAAAACCTATACGCACCTTCTGCACATAAGTTCTGATAATCTGAAGAAGTGTTCACACTCTAATTCGGCAAAGTAAAACAATCAGAGGTGGGTCCGTTACTACATGTATGGGTTTCTAGCAACTAACTAAAAAAACAAAGCGTCGAACACAAATAGTACCTTGGTACCTTCACTCATTTCATAGAACGTATGGAGTAGCACTCGTGAATGTAGGTAAAAACCGCAAATTGCTTACCTGATCTGCTTAACAGAATGAAGGTCAGCACTTGCGCTACGAACCAGCTGTTTTATTTTGAGTCACAGATTTCGAGCTACAGCCATGTCAAAATGGTTTTTACAGTGAGAACTTAGACGCTGCGTCCTCAGGGTTTTCGTCTCGAGCGTTCTTTTGGCGCATCGATTGTCCCAGTAGCTGCCCTTCATTCTCTTCCAATATTGCCGGCTATGTTCAGCAAACAAATATAACAATTTGCATCTTTCGCTTTGGGGAAGTGGGGGGAGGGGGCTACAAATCATTAAGAAGTATGCCTTCTTGAACTTAATGTATTTGTCTCCCCCCTCCCCAAGTACCTCAACGGGCTAAAACCTGCGAAGTATGAGACTACGGGAATTTAAACATGATTGCACATCTAACTCGACTACCTCTGTCACTAAACTGCCTTAACTTTTACCTGCTCAACTACGATATAGACATCATGTGGCGGTTTCTCTCTGCTCAACTAGCATACCGAACGAGTTTCAAGATCCCCGAATACAGCATTTCACGCCCAAGAACTGCAAGGAACCGAAGATTCCAGATCTCTGGGCCCAAGAACCCAAGAATCCCGATTTCGAGACCTGAGAAACCCAGATCCAAGAGATAACAGGGGAGGACACATGGTGAATCACTAAGCTTTGAAACACACAACCAAGAACGGGTATGGTTACAACCGCAGGCCTTGGTTCTAACCGTGTCTGTTCATGCAGATGCTACTGAGGACCCAAACGAAATATTTCAGCAAATTTCATACCGTATGCATTTGATATATAGTAGAAACGATTAAACCAGAGTGGGGTGCTATCGAGATACTTGGGCAGGGGGGGGGAACCCAAACGCCACGAACCCACTAAGCCCATGAAAACAGTCGGCTTTGCCCATATGAAGGAAGGAGCACCACTAAGACATTCAAGTGCACTAAACAAGATTACCCACTTATGGGAAAACCAGTAAACCATTGAAAACATTGAGCCATCAAACCAGCCGTTACCCCGTATGGGAAAATCCATTAGGCCTTCGAGCCACTAAACCATTAAACCATTCAACCATGCCTTGCCTTTCTTGCGGAAAACCCCTTAAACCAGTCGACCAGGAAGCCATTGACCAGTCGTTTCCGTTTTCTGGGAAACCCCATGGGACCATTTGCATTTGAGGAAAAAGGACGGGTTAAACGATTCAATAGCTTGATGTTTTTAATAGAGGAAAAATGATTTGAAGGTTTAGATAGGGGGAAACGACTGGTTTGATGTTTTGACGGTTTGATGGCTTCAGTGGTTCAACGGTTTTCCTCATGGAAGGACATACTGGTTTGATGGTTTAATGTTTTAACGTCTCAATATATAAGGGATCGTGAAAAACGCATGGGTGCCGCTATAGGTGGGCACCCATATACATATGCAGTATAGTGATATATGTATATATATATATATATGTTTATGTATTTATTTATGATCAAAGCTGCCTCTTCCGATCGCGAAGGGACATCTTCAGCTTGCGTAGATTGCGTTTGGCTCGGCCTGTACCCACGGTGCACAAGACATGCGCCAGCATCTTCGAGCCACAGCGTGAAGTGTTTCTTCAAGCTGCTGCGCCCGAGTTTCCTGCTGGCTCGATCCCAGTGACATAGGGAAGGCAGGAGCGTTGCGTGCCTTTGGGCATCCATCATGCCATGAAAGATGCCCGAATAGTGCATATTGAAAGGCTCAACTTCGCGGGCCTGCTTGCTGCTCTGGTTCGGCTGCGCACCTGGAAGTCTGATGATGAGAGGGGCGCAAGTTTTGCGGCACAAAGTTGCGGTGGGTGGCTCCGGGTCTTTTGTCACCTCTGTCGGCGCTCCTCAAGAACTCCCCGGCTGCATGCGATGCATGGCGCAAACGGCACTACCAGGATGGGCTACTCTGGGTTTAGGGTTTAGGGTTTAGGGTTTAGGGCTTAGGGTTTAGGGCTTAGGGCTATTATACCCTGTAATCCCTTAAAAGGCCCTTGATAGGGTTCATTATGGGGACTTTAAAGGCCTCATAGCCCATCCTGGTAACCCAGACCCAGCAGCCAACGCGCAGCTGCAGCGGCGCTGCAGTTGTCAGGCTGCGCTCTTCCGTGTGCTGCTGCGGACTTTAAGGCCGAGCAACGTATCGGACTGTTTCGTAAAGCAGGCTCTCTCGAGCCCTGTGGGAACTTTGTAATTTTAAGTGATTCCTACAACTGGCTAAATTTGCCAGCGGGCGTGGCCACAATGAGCTTCATTCAAGGGCTCTCGCGGCAAGCGCTCACCGCGAGACTCTGCGCTTTTTGGCGGGAGTTGCGTTGTCCTGAAAGGACGAAAGAACCAGCACATGCTGGCAACGTTAAGTCAACTAGACCCTGCTTATCAGAGCAGACGGAAACAAAAAACGATAATCACGAGTGTAGTGCAATGCAAACCAGATCCTTCTCCTCGACTGGAGGAACTGGAACTACCTTGGCTACCGATGTGAAATGTGCCTCTGCAGCATCATCACAGGTGCTTGGAGGTTCCTTGTACTTTTTAACCAAATAATAACTGCACTTATCACCCAACTATAATCACATTTGGGCACTAAGGGGCTTATGAGTGGGTGACGAGTACATGTAATATTGGTTAAATGCCATGAACCTCTAAGTGCAGTGCAGCAGTGCTGAGAATGCGGCCGGCTTCGCACCTCCTCTCCGCAGGGAGCCAAAGGCAGCTCGCCACATCGTCTTCTGGGTGTCCGTATCAAAGACAACCCCGCTGTAGGTCAGGACCTTATGTCGGCAGGAGGGTGGACTCCAAACTGGAGTTTACACACTTATATAACAATATATATATATATATATATATATATATATATATACGTATGGTATACATATTCGACCATGAGAAGCACCACACAATACAAAGTATTGACGTGGCATACTAGGTCAACAAGGGAGAACACGGATAGAAACAGAGAGTGAGGTTACATATGCATGTATGTATGTATGTATACATATATATATATAAAGAAAGTACTCAAGCGAAGGCCCCATACGAACAGAACTTTAAGTGTTGAAAAGAGATGTTGTCCAACATAAACGGAGACACAAACCATCGGAACTCCGCACTAGTCTGAAATCCTGAAGGAAGTCCGAATTTCAAAAGTCTACTGTTTGGGGAGAAGGACCCGAATGTCCTACTTATTCTGGTATAAACCCAAGAAGCCGCAACACTACCCTAAAACTTCCTAAGACAGGGTACCCTTGTTGGGTTCCTAAAGAATATAGTATGTGGGGGGGGGCGAGGGGGGGGGGGTTATTCAAGGGGGTCCCCATTTTCGGGACAGGTCCACCCTAATCATGGGACCTGAACCCTACTTGGAGGTTCAGGTACTTCCTAACCCCATAATACGTGTACTTCTAACCCAATGATCACCATGTTGGGGCACTTAAGGGGGCTTATTAGTGGGTTATAAGTACAGCTTGTAGTTGGTGGAACAAGTCCCCCTGAACCTTCAAGTAAAGCCCTCCCATGCTCGAAAGTGTCAAGAGGCGACCAAGCGATGGGGCCAGTTGAGCATGTAGCCGGAGCCCCCAGCACCTCCAACACTCCAAACCCCAAACCCTAAACCCTAAACCCTAAACCCTAAACCTGAACCCTGAACCCTAAACCCTAAACCCTAAACCCTAAACCCTCAACCCTAAACCCTCAACCCTAAACCTAAACTCTAAACCTAAACCCATCCATAAAAGAGCTCTTGGTCTTGGGGGCTCTACGGTCTCGGGATGCCTCGGGTGGCGGGATTCGGGTGTTTCTTTGCTGCCTGCTAGCTATGACCCTATGGGTCGATCTCGCCCCCACCGTTCCGGCGTGTGCACACACGCGCACAGGAACCGATCCCCCAATGTGCAATATCGCGCATTTGGGAGGCGCATTTCTCCGCCCTGCCGGCTCTGGGAAGGGTTCGTGTCGTGCCCACGTCCTATGAAGGAACCATTTGCTGTGTTCGAAGTCGTGCTCACGCCGTACTCGGAAGACGTCCAGAGAGTCCGGCGACTCGACAGACTCTTGGCACGTGGAAGGGCACCGGAGACGACGACAGTCGAAAGGCTTTTTGAATCGATGCACTGTTTGGTGTGTCTACGGCAGAACGGTGTGGGCTTTGGGGTTGAGGGCTCAAGGATTTCAGGGCTTAAGGGTCAACTAACAAAAGCAACACTTTACCACGAATACACACATGAGAAATTGATACAGTAGAGACGTGATGATCTGTAACATGAGCATAGGGGACCTATTCAAGAAGCACCCTCATCGCCGAAACCCTGTAACCCTGAAGCCAGAAGCCGGCAAACCTAGTAAAGCTGCAGAGTCACTGCCACGGGAATAAAAACCCGGCACCGGCTTGCTGGGGCTTGAGGGGGAGTGCACCGCAGAGCCTTGTAATATCCCCATTGCACGTGGTCACATCGCCCCCCCCCCCCCCCCCCCCCCCCCCCCCCAGCCAAAGTAATCTTGCTGGCTAGCTACCGCCCCAGTGAACTGTGTGCAGCTGCGACCCAACCTCAGGGGCATTTTCCTACAGCTTCGCGCTGCTGCCAGCCATAGGACAAACAATTGCCATGCATGTGCAATGGGGAAAGCTCTGCAAAACATACAGTCACAAGACGAGCGACAAGGCCACAATCTGCAAACGACGCATCGCAGGGCCCCTTTGACAGTGAAGCCTACTTCAAAAGCTTCAGGGTCTTTGGGCCTTTCTGATTCTGGGTCCTCGTCGGGTCTCTTCGGCCTTCAGAAGTCTTTGTTATCCTATACTCTACATGAATCTATTCTATTGCATTATGCTATTGTTATGCACCACTATTTTGTGTTGTATTGTATTGTATTATACGGCATTATAATGTATTATATTATGTCATGCTGTAGTGCATTATGTTATATGATATTATATTGGATTATATTATATTATAGTACTAGATTCGACTATAATTTTACTTTATACTAAAAACGATACTACATCATGTTAGACTATACTCTATTATGTTAAATTTTGATCCTTTGATCTACTCGATTTTGTGTGGGGGGCGGGAGGGGGGGGGGGGGGCTTTTGGCACGAGGAGCCGTTCGGCGGCTGGCACCCTCGAACTCCACCCCGATCTGGCCCAGCGGAGAGAAGCCAATGCCCGGTGTGTTCCAGACCCACAGGGGGCGCCTTCTCTGGGACACATGGAGAATAGTCATGACATATATATATATATATACATATATGTATAAAAAAACATACATACATACATACATACATACATACATACATACATACATACATACATAAATACATACGTACGTACGTACGTACATACATACATAAAATCATATATATATATATATATATATATATATATATATATATACATGTATATATATATATATGTAGGGTAGTATTGTTATGTTACATATATATCATTGTTTGGGCTACAAGGAATGTACCCTCAACTTTACTTCGTGTCTGTTCGTTCCTTCTGGGGGCATGAGTGGAATGACTTAACCAAGGGGTTTGGGCTGCTCCCAAGAACCCTAAACCCTAAACCCTAAACCCGGAAACCCTGGGTTCCAAGGGCCTGCGCTTCTCCGTGGTGAAATCATTCAACCAGTCTCGGGCGAGCAGCTGCACACTCTCAGCCTTTGTGGTGATTTCCGAAATTAGGGGTACCTTATTGGGGGTCCTTATTTATCAGGGCAATCCTGCTATTTGGGGGTCCCCTAGTTTCGTAACCCCCCATGTGAGCGATTCATTGACTTCGCAGGATTCTACGGGCTGAGCACGCTGGTGAAGCACTGTGAAGCACAGGCCGAGCGGCTTGAAGGAGTCGTACGCCGTCCAGCTGCGCAAGATTAGTTGGCTGAGAACTAGGAGAGGTGCACAACCGACAGCTCAAAAGCCCCACCTCACCATCGTTGACCACCATTTGGAAGAATCGCGAACAATCACCGAGGTTGCTCACAAGCCCGCCTCGCAGGTGGAAGCTGTAGGAGGCCTAGCAAAACAATAGACTATAGAACATAATGAAATATCATATCGTATAGCAAATTATCATGTATTATGATGGGGCTACTCGTCCCGGGCTCTGAGTGGCATGGGAGATGGTGGGGTCATACGCCCCCTTTACAGGCCGCGGGCTGCTTTCCACTCCACGCGAGAAGGGTCATGCTAGTTCTGCTTCACAGCACCTACTGCAAACTCTCCTTTGGGTCAAGCCAACACGCCTGCCACACTGCAGATGCAGCCGCCGCCCTGGATGACCTCTCCATACCGCACGAGGCCAGCAGCGGCTCAGCAGCGCACAACACGGCCCCTAAACCCTAAACCCTAAACCCTAAACCCTAAACGGGACCTGTGAGCCGGCCTTCGACGCGGGCCCGCCCTGCAGGAAAACGGAGGTGGACGTCGCCAGCACTGACGACTTGTCCTTTTCAGGCCTGGGTGTTGGGATGTTCCCCTTATACGAGCGGCCCTTAACAAGAATTACAGCACCCCTATTATAATCCCCATTAGTTTAGTATAAGGGGCAACATCCCAACCTGGGTGTGTTTCAAGGGTCACATGTTTGCGCTTAGGGCTCTCCCCGGCCAACATCAGTGTAAAGTGTCCCCACACTGTTGGTAAGATGGAGTACTGCAAGCATGACAAGTTCTGCTCCTGCTCCAGTTCCTACTAACCAAACAGTAAGCCCGAAACCCTCAGTCGTAAGTCGTAAGTCCCCTGCCTGGCCAGCACGTTCCGGGAAAGGTCTTCCACAATGCCACTGCCGCCAACATCCGAAGTGACGAATCGGACGGTTGTCGCTTTTCCGTGCCAAGGCTCCCTGCATCGTTCAGCCAAGCACGTCTATGTCAAGGTCTATGTGCGAAGACAAAGGCCCCTTACAAGGGTCTATGCTGTTGACACACTGCTTCTGAGCAGTGGCTGAGAAGAGGAAGTATCAATCACCGTGCCTCTTGTAGAGCGCTGCAAGCTTTGACGAGCTTTCCGCTGGCACTGCGAAGAAAGTGTTGACCATCCCTGCCAAACAGATGCACAACTGTTTTGAGGGGGGGGAGGGGTTTAGGGTTTAGGGTTTAGGGTTTAGGGTTTAGGGTTTAGGGTTTAGGGTTTAGGGTTTAGGGTTTAGGGTTTAGGGTTTAGGGTTTAGGGTTTAGGGTTTAGGGTTCTGGCCTAGAGGTTCCAAGACCTCCTCCTTCAGAAAGTCATCCAGCCGCTTCTTCGTGAGCACTTCGATGAGCCTGCGGAGCGGCATTGCAAGCACCCAGCAAAAATGAAGGGGTGTAAGGAGGGACCCCTTAGAAGGGACCCTGAATCTTATTCCCCTATTTAACCCCTAAATATACCTTATATAGTCCCTAGATGCCGAAGTGGCCCCTAAATATCCCCAAGTCCCTCCTTTAGCCCCTTGAAAAAGAAAAAGATCGCAGAAGAGTCAGGCAATACGAACATCTAGGCATCGATGCCAGAAACAGATGCAGTAAGATGCTACCAGCGCCTTCCCAAGACGTCGGAGCTGTAGCCATATCCCCAGTCTTTGCCAGGCTGAAACCGCAGCGGTATCTTAGCAAGCTCTTCACACCATTCCTTACTCAACGGATCTCAACGGGGACTCTGGTCAACCGAGACAGGAGGCGCAAGTTGCTGAGACGTTTGTACCTTCCAAATTTTGTAAGCCCAGGATCAGCCAGAGAAAGAATCTCTCCAGCGTCCACCTTTGCCACTAAAGGTAGGTAGGTCGATTCGTAGTCGTTCTCTGCCTCGTAGCCTGGCTAGCGCATGCCTCTGCTCCATGTGCTCCATGCCATGGATCATGCAAGAAGAAGAGGAAGGAGAATCACAGCAACTAACTGCACGTAAGACAAAAGCTACCTTGGCATAAGAACCACCGGATGTTTGCAGAAACGTGTGTGTGTGTGTGTCGAACCTGAGGCAGGGACCGAAGCCCGGGCCGAACCCAATGCCGCTGGTGTGGGCAAGCAAGTCTCGGACGAGCATGGGCCGCAGCAGGGGCTTCCTCTTCGGCCCGACTGAGGCACCCTTGAACTCGGGCAGGTACTTCTCAACGGGGTCGTCGAGCGACACCGCGCCGCGCTCGAAGAGGATCAGGAAGCCGACAACTAGGATGGGCTTCGTCTGGGAGTAGAGCCGGAACAGCGTCTGGGAGCTCAGGGCAACCCCCCCCGCCAGATCTGCGAAGCCGTGGGCCTGAAACAGAGGCAAAGAATCTCGGTCTATTCGGGGAATAAATCTGTGTTAATATCCTGGCATTTGATCTCCATTTGCCGATATTTGGGGGTTTGTTGCGAAAACAGGGGACCCCGAATGAAGTCCCCGCAAATAGTAGGACCCCCTTATGATAAGGACCCCAAAAAGGTACCCCTTTTTGGGGAAATACCCATATTCCAATGGGGGTTTACGAAAATACGGGACTCCCCTTATGCAAAGGACCCCAATAAGGCACCCCTATTTTCGTAAAGCCCCATATTTAGCAGTTGCCTCAAAGTGGATGACATGGCCCTCCTTGACGGCGCAAGTCATCACACCAGGAAGGCGTCCGGCATCGACCTCCCAACACACACCGAAAGTTGATGAAGAGGCAACCCTAAACTCTAAACCCTAAACCCCCAAACCCTAAACCCTAAATCCTAAACCCTAAACCTTGGGCCATCGCAAAGCTTCCCGAAGCTTCCGAAAGCTCCTCTCAAAACCCAAAACCCTAAAGCCCCAAACCTTAAGCTCGAAAGCCCTCTAAGGCCTACCATTGCTTCACTTTGAGATGCTTCCCCTAAACCCTAAACCCTAAACCCTAAACCTTAAACCCTGAACCTTAAACCCTAAACCTTAAACCCTAAACCCTAACCTCTAAACCCTAAACCCTTGGGCCTGCGACTTCAGCCGATCTGCCGCCTTTCTGAGCGGCTCGGGGTCCATCTGCAGGCTCTTGGCCTCCCAAGGCGTTGGGACATCAGGGGCTGGCTGCCTTAAGCACTTTCCGGAGGGTTTAGGGTTTAGGGTTTAGGGTTTAGGGTTTAGGGTTTAGGGTTTAGGGTTTAGGGTTTAGGGTTTAGGGTTTACGGTTTACGGTTTAGGGTTTAGGGTTTAGGGTTTAGGGTTTAGGGTTCATAAGGGCTGATCAGGTGATCAGGAGGCGCAACGTCGCGTGTTTGGGAGTGCCGGCTGCCTTGCGGACACCGGTTACCCGATTCTCGAGGCGATGGGCGTCCATGGCCGCAATGCAGAGAATCCCGAGCTTGCATATTTAGGGTTTAGGGTTTAGGGTTTAGGGGTTAGGGTTTAGGGCTTAGGGGTTAACACGTCCTGCCCTCTTTGACTATGGTGGAATTGTTCCGCGTGAAGGGTGCAGCGAAGTGGGCAGGCATCAAAGCCTACAGACCCTTCCTTGAAGAAGCATGGTCTCTCTACTCTGAGCCGTGCGCATCCCACAGTGGATGGAGGTTGATCCAACTTGTGGCCCTTTTGGGCACCCTAAAACATGAGAAACACACACCAAAATGGAGGTCCTGAGAGGCTCCACAACTTGGACAGACAGGGCTTCTTGCGCGTAGCCAAGGGCTCGACCCTTCTTCTCAGCATGGTCAGCTTCCGCCTACGGACAGCGATGAACGAGGGGGCTAGGCGGTTATAGTCACGCTGGAGGCTGATGCCGTTCAGTTAACCTAAACCCTAAACCCTAAACCCTAAACCCTAAACCCTAAACCCCAAACCCTAAACCCTACCAAAACATGGTCCAAAGTTTTAATCAACCCGCACATTGGAGTTTAGATCAAACTGGTAGCTCCACCTGCGCTCTGGCAGCAGACCAGATGACGTGCGTCACCGCTCTGCAAACTGCCAAAGGCAGCAGGCCATCCGCCTGACAGTCCGGGCTTTGGACGAAGCACGCTTCGAGGCTTCAACTCATGGCAGGAATGCCAGAGGTCCATGATCGGCATCCGTTTCTGGGCAAGTAGCGACCTCAACGACAGTGCTAGAACCTACGAGTAGGGATCAGGAGCATACAGTGTTGCGGGGCTTTTCCGCTTGAAGGGTTCTCAGGGCATCTTTTCCTGCCTGAACCTCAAACGTCACAACCGACTGGCTGCCCACACGAACACCAAACATGGGAGAGAACGGAAAAGATGGCGTCCAGTCATTGAGGCGAGCTCTAAGGGTGATTTACAATTCAAGACGCATTTAGCCGCGGAGTTGCTTCGGGTTCGAGCTAGCTTGCTTTTATCCTTGGTTTGGGAGGGGCCTGGGAGTGGTCTTGCGGCGTGTTGGCGGAACATAGAGATTCTGGGCTGACGCTCAGGGGGTTGGGCTTGCACTGGTTCCGGAGTTTCTTGGCTTCAAAGCATGTTCCGGTCAGGGATGCGCCTGCCCACACGAATTTCGAATCCCTCGCAGGGCTGTGCTGGCAAGACGGGGCGAAATCAACGTTCCACCATTCTTCTTCTTCTTCTTCTTCTTCTTCTTCTTCTTCTTCTTCTTCTTCTTCTTCTTCTTCTTCTTCTTCTTCTTCTTCTTCTTCTTCTTCTTCTTCTTCTTCTTCTTCTTCTTCTTCTATTTCTGTATATAATTATTAGTATTGTTATTTTGGATGTTGGCGCGCACCAAGACACGCCCGTAAACACGGCTGCTCTTCGACGATGAAAGAACCGTCAGTACCGATGTTGTCGTAGGATCCGAAAAGTGTCAACTGCATTCGTGAAAACACCGGTGAATTCGATGCCTCTAGGTTTCCGGCACTGCTAATTCCGATGTAAATGCCTTGCGAGCCTCTTCTTGGGCACTCTAAACTATACGGCTGACGCGAGAAGGAAGACCGAAGCGCCACCTAATCTAGGTCAACCTTCCCAAACGCGAGTAAAAGCAACGTTGTGCCAGGCCACCTGGGGCGGCGTTGACACCAGGCTCGGCCGACCACTCCTGCCTTGGCGATGGCTTTAGGATTCGCCAGGGCTTAGGGCTCAGGATTCGGTTCTCACATTGCAGCATCCTTAAGGGACCACAACTTGTGCAGGCCACTTTGGGGGTTTCTGGGGGCTTTAGGCCTCTAAAACACATGCCACAAAAATGTCGAAAAACTCAGTGACCCTTGCCGCTAATGCGAGATTCCCACACAGCCACTCAGAAAACCCTTAGTCCCTAACCCCTTCAAAGCCAAACCCCCAAATTTCTTAAAACTCCCAAACGCCCTACATAGGCCCTCCTTAAGCCCTCAGCCCCTGAACCCCTGCATCCATAATTCCGTGCAAGATTCTTCTTGCAAGGAGGAGATTACACCATACACCCTTTCTGCGCCAAGTCGAGATCCCCAGCCACAATGGAGGTGGGCGGTATGGGAAAAGAGGAAGAGTTCAAAAAGAACAAGGCACAAAGACGAGAGACGTAACCAAAGCTAGAAGTAGGCTGCATTTGGGCCATCCGGGAGCCCACCTGTGTCCATAGGGGGAGACAAGCCCCATGACAGAAGTGGACTTCAGACAGGCAGCCAGGACCAAACATCCACAGGAAGCCAAGACATGCTAATGAGGCTTGCAGAGTCCCCACAAGTAGAACCGCCTATCTCCCAAGAGCCCATGTCTGCGCCAATCTGCGCCAGGAGTGTCCCTCGCCTCCTAACCCTAAACCCTGAACCCCTAAACCCCTAAACCCCTAAACCCCTAAACCCCTAAACCCCTAAACCCCTAAACCCCTAAACCCCTAAACCCCTAAACCCCTAAACCCCTAAACCCCGAAACCCCTAAACCCCTAAACCCCAGACTCAGACACAATGGAAGAAAACATAGCTAGGCGCCACAGGGGCGGGGATGGGAGTCCTGCCGTGCCCGCACCTAAATCCCCAAACCCCTATAACCCCTACAACCCCTAAACCCCTGCAACCCCTAAACCCCTGCGACCCCCCCCAACCCTAAACCCTAAACCCAAACCCTACAAACCCCTAAACACCCCTAACCCTAATCCCTAAACCCTAAACCCCTAACCCTAAACCCTAAACCCCAAATCCCAAAATCCCTAAGGCTCTGGCTTGGACTGCGGCTGCGTGCCGTTGGCTGCAAGCCGTGGTCGGGTGGTTCAGCCCGGCACGCCTGGAGGACTCTAAGATTGGAAGCATGGGCCCTTATTATGTATCGTTTATATAGGAAACTACGAAAATAAGGGACCCAAACATAAACCCTCAACTAGCAGGATTCCCTTATAGCTAATTTCGGAAGGGGACCCAAAATTAAGGGCCCATACTTCGGATGCCCTAGAGCAGGAGTTGGGGAGTATGGCACAGGTCTTTGGTGTCTTGCAGAGACTTGTGGTAGAAGAGGTGAACGATGAAGGCTGACGTTTCGAGGCTTCGGGCTTCGGGCTTGCTAGGATGCTGCATGTGGGGGGCTCTCTGGTGCTGTTAAAAATGAGTGGCTTTCGTTTGAAGTTCGTAAATCTTTCCGGAACTCCTATGCAGCTGCTTGAGGGTTAAGGCATAGGGTTTGGGGCTCCAGGTTCAAGCCTGCCTGGACTGGCAGACTCCGGCCATTTGACGGAGAACCACGACAACCTGGCCAGCTCAGCACTATGCTCAGGGGCTTTGAGGGTTTAGGGCTCCTGTTAGGAGCTTAGGGCTCTAAACTATTACTTCGGTGCAATTAACCTTTTGGGCTGAGGGGACTTTGGCCATTCGCTTTGTTTGATTGCACATGCGGCACCCGCACGATGTCCCACGTATCTGCTGCCATACTGCCATACTGCCATACTGGGGGCCAAGAAAGCATGCCCACTGTCAACCACAGGAGTACTGCGCCCGAAGTGCTGGTAGCTGCCTCTATCAAGTTGGTCGCGAGTTGAATGATTCCTTCCCCTCCACTCCTCCACACGAACCCTGCTTCGCTCCTACCCCAGGAAGAATTTGCTAGCTTGGGCGTGCTGCCAAACACTGAACTGGACTGATCACTGTGAAGTGCGACTGGCAGATTGCAAGTTCATTCCGTGGCACATGCCGGTCAGACTGTGCTTGGGCATTCTACCACCGCTGGTGCTGGTGTTACGAGTACTTCACAAATGACAGGTGACCGTGCAGAAAAGCAGTTGTCTGCAGTCAGAATGTTGTGAGCTGTCTTGCGGATGCTTGAACGTGCTAAGGCAACGAAGGCAGCTACAGATAAGGATCCCGGAGCTGGATGTACGCGGAACTTGGCATGTGTACTTTCGAGCTTGAGCCCGTGGCCTGCATGGGGTCCTGCTTGCAATGCTGTCTTGACAGGAGCTGCGCCTATACTATAGCACACCACGGAGTGGGTTGGCATGGTCTGCTCCTGGCCGTCTCTTTTTCTGGCTCAGGTGGTCCGAGTCATTCAAGAGTTTGCTTCTTCGCTATTCATAAGTATTCTAGGCCTACTGCAGGTCCGGGGGTGCACGCGCACCCACCTGCTCCAAAGTCTCAGCCCCTGTCTAGGCTGTTCTAGGCTCCCTCGACAGTAATCTTGATCATCTCAACCGGGTCGATGGGGCAGTCCTTTCAAGCAGGACGCCTCACGAACGCAAGTGCATGTTGGAAACCAAGGTTCCCACATTGGCGTTTGTCTGCACCTGCGAGATCTTCTCAATCAGATCATACCTGCCACTTGATTGCAACAACGTTTGGGATGCCTCGGAAGGGAAATCGGTCCTTCCCAGGGAAGGCGTGCGCCCAAGGACCAATGATTCTCAAATGAGACGGCGCACCCTTCGACAACACGGCCAAAAACTGGATGCGCCGATGGCGTAGATCGGTCGAACCAGTTCAAAAAGCCTGGGCTTCTTGTGGACTTCAGGACTCTGCAGCCCAGCTGTCTGCAAGTCAGTCATCATCATCATCATCATCATCATCATCATCTATACATATATACATATGTATACATATACACATATATATGTACAGATAGATGTGTACATATATATATATATACATATATAAATATATAGAAATATATTTGTATAATTTGTATATATATATATATACACACACACCGCAATATAACACAATATGATCCAAGATTAATCCTTGAGGGGCACAGCCGAGGATTTAAGACGTACCTTGGTTTCAAATAAAAAACAGAGGTTTCTGGTGTTTAAAGGCGAATTGTTATCGGAATCGGGTGTTTCCCGTAAGATTGAAATATGTAGGCCCGCGTCCGGCATAAGTGTGTGTGGTAAGTCTTGAGTGCCGTGTCGTTGGTCAGCTTTTGGATTTCAGGG